CGCTTTATCTTCCATCTCATCATCCATGTCAGCATCAGCGTCATCCGAGTCCACCAAAACCGAGGCGAAGACCACCGGCACAGAGACGCAGGCAACATCCACTGCCACGGGTGGGGCTGTTGCTATCGGCGCTGGAGAAGCTGGAGGTGTCGTGGTGGCTGCTTTGGGGATTGTTGCTTTGATGCTGTAGGACAGTTTGACTGCGTAGAAGGGAGAAAGGGTGAAGAGGACTCGGCAAGGGCTGTTGTGTCGGGTGAAGTGAGTAGTATGAGTGTACAACAGCGGAAAGACAGAAGATGTGAAAGAAGTTTGAATTGAACAATCATTGATTCATAACCGATGTCTAAGCACCGTGTGCAAATATCTTACAAAGCCGTTCCTGTTCGATGCATATGCTATCCATGTCTTCATGCCTTACGACCGTGCCCTCGTCTGCCATTACTCCTCCTCACTCATATTGTCCTCCACTTATAAGATAACAATCCTCCTAACCTGCATCACCTGCGCCCTAGGCACAGTAACCTTGAGCGCACCATCCTTGAAGCTAGCGCTCACATTGGCGACATCGATGCGTTCAGGGAACCTGAAGGTGCGCTCGAATGATCCGTGGACGCGTTCTTGTTGTTGATGCTGCTCCTGAGGACGCTGGACTGGTACCTCGGGTTGTGGCTGAGTTACAACAGCGGTCTCGGTGTTCTTAGGCTCATCAACTGACTTTTCCTTGCCCTTGGGCTCGCGAGGCTCGGTGGGAGATGATGGTCGAGAGGATGGGAAGTCAGCGGCGAGGTCTTCGAAGTCGTCCTCGACGGTGGGCTGGTATGACTTATGCGATGAGGTGTCGCTGTCAGGTGTAGCGGCGCGAGTGGTAGGTGCCTCGGTCTCGGTGGTGGTCTCAACTTCTGGCTCCGACTGTGTGGCGGCTGGCTGCTCGATGCTAGTGGCAGGTGTGGCCTGGGCTTCGATCTGAGGTAGCTGTGGCTGAGACTGCGACTTCTCCGACTGCCACTGGGTGTTACCGGCGATCTTCAGTGTGTGCTCATCGATAACCTCAATGTTGATGTTGTCCTGCTCGAAGCCCTGGATGTCTCCATCCACCTGCCACCCCTGCTCGACCTGGTTGACCTGGAAGTCGGCTCGAAGTGCGCGCTTGCGCTGTAGCTGTCGCTGGCGGTAAGCTTCGCGTAGTGCCTCTCGGTGGGCCTCGATCTGGGCCTTGCGCTGAGCCTCGCGTTGTGCCTCGCGGTCGATCTCGCTCAGGAGCTCGTCGACCTGGCTGAAGAAGTTGTTGTAGGGTGAGTATTGTGGGCGGCGAGGCTGAGGACGGGAGACGCGGTAGCCGTGGGCGGGTCGTGATACTGGAGCGCAGAAGCCGAAGGGGTTGCACTGCTGTGCCTCGTAGGCGGGTGCCATTCGTGGAGTGAGGATGAACGCCATTGCTGGGGTACTTAGTTCGAGAAGCGAGGCTTGTTGGTCGATGAAGAGAATAGTGTAGAGTAGGGGAGCTCAAGAGTAGGTGTAGATCGTAGATCTGTAGATGTGTTTGTCTTTCGAATTGATGATGGGCTCTTGGAGAGCAGGAAGACATGGATTTATAGCCATTATGGAGGCGTCGCAGGCAGCAGCCGATTGCGTGCGCAGTGATGAGCAATGCAGATTCCGTAAGACAGAGGACGATGCTGGAAGAGTGTAGACGATGCGCGACGATTGGTGATGCTTCGAGGTTTGTCAGGAAGACGCGTGAAGCTTCGCGATGTTTCTCGAAGCTTCTACGTCATCCGGCGGCTGAGATGGCTCGTGCCCCGCTTATGTAACCACGCCTGCCCTCACCAGCCTTGCACGTGCTTCTACGACGAGAACACCAATACGATGAACGAACGACCCTGCAGATTTCAAGGTTCATCGCAGAGTAGCAAAAAGAATGAGGTAAGCTACGACCCTGCATTGAAGGGTTCGGTGATGTCCCTCATCATGACAGGGCGAGTAGCTCACATTACCAGTCCACTCGGGGCTTGCATCGTTCCAGGTTTCACGATTGGTCCATGTCGTTGTTTCTCAATACTTCAATTGTAGTTTATCCTAGTCTATATTTATAGGAACTGCTTTCAGATTCTCCATCCGCTCATCTAAGCCTTATACCTAGCGGGCATAGCAGCCTTAAGCAGCTTCGGGAAGTTCGGTGTGCCAAGACCAGAAACCGGGTCCCATCCCGCAGTAGCGTTCCAGCTAGCATACGGGATGACTGGGCTGCCGTTGGGCTTGCCGTTGAAGCGGGCATGGCCATCGCATCCAGTGCTGCCACCGAGAACAATGTCGTTGAGCGCATCGGGGTTGGAGTACAGCAGGGGGTTCAAGAAACCAAGAGCGGGCTTCTTGGCCCTGAGGCGGGCGTCGTTGAGAAGAGCGACGATGCCACCGAAGGCGGGGGCTGAGCAGGAGGTTCCTTGGTAGCCCTTGAGAGAACCCTTGTCGTAGACGCGGTAACCTGGAGATGGGTGTTAGTATTTGTTTTACATGCAGTACGAGAACGGGATGTCACTTACCGAAACCTTGGGCAGAAACGTCAGGGAATCCACGTCCGTGGCGGTTGAAGTAGGGCTTGTTCTTCTGGCCGAGCTGGTGGAAGTACGCCTTCACGGCATCGTCCTGGTACGAGGGACGCTTCCAGTAGTCGGAGAAACCACCGGAGGAGAAGAAAGTAGCAGTCTCGTTGAGGTAGCGGGTTGAGCCAACGGAGGTGACGAATGGGCAGGCAGCAGGGTACTACAGAGGTTACGAAGTAAGTATATGTCTCACATGCACTTCGTACAGTCAGAACTTACCTGGGGCTGGAACTTGGTCGTGTTCTTGCCGTCGTTAGAAAGGCAGGCAGAGCCGGTACCAGAGTCACCGGAGGAGAAGATGACGGAGACACCACGGCTACCGAGCTGAGCAAAGAGGTTGCAGACGCTGAGAGCGTAAGACTTGGGCACACTCTGCTCGTTCTCGCCGTAGGAGGTGGAGATGACCTGGGGGAGGTCCTTCTGCTTGAGCTTGAGCACGCTCTGGAGGAACTCGAGGTAGGGCTCGTTGGCACTGTCGGCCTCATCAGGCTGGTCGAGATCAGCGACCCAGGGGCCACGGCCGCCGGTGCTGTACTCGGTGACGGGCAGGGGCTGGGCAAGACCGAGCATGTACTGCAAGTCCAAGTTGGCCTCGCCACTGTCGTCGCTGGAGTTCTGGTCGTTCAGACCACCGTTGAACTGGACGACGGAGAAGTTCTGGCCAACGGCCTCGGGAAGGATGTTCTTCTCGAAGAGGGCGAGGTCGCTGTAGCGAGCGTACTCCTCGAGGTAGGAAGCGAAAGCTGCCTTGCTGCCACTCTTGGGGTCGGGAGTGTAGTCGATCTTGTAGAGCTGCTTCAGGCACTGGGGGGTGATGGATGCATCACAGTTGACAGTGATGTTGGGGGATGAAGCAAGCTGGATACCAAAGATCTCACGCTCAGTCTCGTGGTTCGCGCGGATAGCAGCGAAGCGAGTAGTCGGCTGAACGAGGTTGATGTGATCGGCAATCTCGTCAGGCACGGAGTACTCCAGGGTGCGGAGAACCTTGCGGGGCGTGCTCTCCTCGCTAACGAACCAAGAGAACTTCGTTCCGAGGAGCTCGTTGGCGACACCAACGGTGGTCCTGAAGGTTACCCAGTCGGCATCGGTCTCGAACTTCTCGATACCGGCAGACTTGAGCCACGAAGAGACGGACGAAACGGTCTCCTCGCTGGGCATAAGCATGCGCTTCATCTCCTCGTGCGACTCATAGTGCTGGCCGTACTTGGGGTTTGAGGGTGTGGAGATGTCCATGACGGTTTGCTCAAAGCCCGCGGTATCGCCTTGCGTGAGCGCGATCTGCAGCTTGAGCGTGTGTGCATCAGATGCTGGGCCTTGAAGCTTCCATCCTGTCGATCGTTAGCAAAGATACAAACTTGTTACGGCATACAACCCACCCTCTGGAACTTCGAAGAGCTTCTCAAACGGCTCTGCGAAAGCCCTAACAGCCAACAGCGAGCCAACGATGAATGAAAGCACAGGAGCCATCTTTGCCACAACCGGTTTCCTTGAGCGAAGGTAGTCCGAAGCGAATGCGGATGAAGAGACAACGAACAGCGGACTGCATTGTAGTTTTATACCGCACCCACGGTCGACCTCAGTCCCTGCATGATAGTCGTGTTATTACCGACCTACCCCATGGAGTTTAGATTGCGATTGTCGCTCATGTCGTGGTGCGCATACGCGATGCGTTGAATGGAACCGACAGTGTCCAAGCAAGGGGCTAAGAAAGACAAGCCTCGGACTGGGGCTCTTGACAAGGCTTGTGTGCCGGATAACCTCCTTCTTGTTTTGGCCGTGGCGTTGCGATAACATGACCGATGACCCCACATGAGTGGTTGTGACAGGTTGTGACGTGTGGATCCTGTTCTGTGCGCGCTCGTTAGCACCGGGCTAGGGCCGCCCACTTGGGTTGGCGTTATAACCGGACCACTGCCTCGGCCACAGTTCATGCAAGGCACATACGAGCACCTTCCGGTAACAATGTAGTATTGGTCTCTAGAGCATGTCACCTGCATTCGAGATCTTCCTAGATCGTTTGGTAATTACAAGCAATCTGGGTTTCTATGATCTTCGCCGCCACCTGCATCCTGGAAGGAACCGTAGCTGAGATCGTTGCAAATGAGAGAAGTCGCAAGTATAATATACAGAGATCGTCGCAAATATCGGGCGGATAAACACCAGACTAATATTGCGAACAGCCCGCCTATGAGGACCGAACTCCCTGGGACATATATCAAGATATCAGTCGTTGCCTTTCATTGATTCCATCGTTACTTCCAGAGACTTGCCATTCTAAAGCCTCCAGCACATTGTACGGATGTGTGTGCTGCCGATAAGCCACATGTGTGAGAAATAGCTTTGTTCCCCAAGCTCCGCGAAACGCGTAGCATCCTCGTACCTGATTCTCAGTGTCCTTTACTCATAGCTCAGCTCGTGATTGTTCCAGCAGAGCTCGAAGCCGTTTGCGCGGAACCACTCGATACGAGTGGCTTCGAGTTCGAGTATAGCCTCCACTTGTTCCTCAGAGTAGCCAAGAAGGACCCTTTTGAGTGCTTCCACAGTGACCTCAAGGTAAGGATATCCGATTGAACGTCTTTGCCCACCGATAGTTCGTCTCAGTGTCTCTCGCAATCTATCTGGCAGGTGTTCATTCGGCTTGGGGTTCATTGTCAGTTTATAATGCAGATATGACAGCTTCTTCTTGATAAGCTCGTGTCGCCGATGTTCGATCTCATCTACCGCGGGTTAGAATACTACATGTGTCTCAGAACTATATTGCTAACTTACCTGACAAAGATTGGGGTATGGGAAGTCCCAAGGTGCGTAGTTTACTCTCGTTGCAGTAAAAAGTCACTATCTCAACAAGGAGAGCGAAACAATCTTTGCTCCCGAAGAGATAGAAAACCCAAAGCAGCAGTATCGACTCGCGGCAGTATTCACCCTCCATTTTATCACCATAGATTTTGTTCATCCAGACATCAGTGAAGAATTCCACCGCACTAGCGCAGTCGTGATAGTCGACGAGGATTCCCAGCTTCGCCATTAGTTCGAGGCTCACAGACTTCGGGATCTGAGGGCTGCGCAAGTGTAGCATGTTCATGAAGAGGAGGAATGCTTCCTCCTCCCACTCGTCTGCTGTGATGTGGTAGCGACCGTCGGCCTGCTTGCATCCCTCACTCCAGGTGCCAGGTGAGAGCGCTGCTTTGAAGACCGGTGACGCCAATTTGAGATGGCGTGAGGAGACAAGATAAAGGACAGATCCGTCAGGAACATTAAGGATTACCCAATCCGACTCCTTTGTGATGAACGCCCTCGCAGGCGACTGGTGAATTTCGATATCGTCCGAGATCGACATCTTTGTGTCCCATTCTTTCATGCTGAAAGGGAGTTGATCAAGCATGTCAAGGTTGTCGAACGGTGAATCATCCCACCAAGCGAAGTATTCACCATCACCCGGTGATCGTAAGATTATGACTGTATCCGCGTCTGGATCGATCTCATGTACAACTGGAGCCATACTCGGATGTTGTGGGTGAATTAAGTTGAGTGGTTGTGATTTGATGTTAAGCAGGAAGATCCGGTCGTATGAACCTGTAAGCCATTGTGCATACGATTAGTGAGCTCGTCCAGTATTTTTACACTTCTTTCGATGAAACGCAAATGCACGGACAATTGTGAGTGGTTAGTAACGGGTGAATGGAAAATGTAGTAGTGCTGGGAATCTACTGCCCACCGAGACGCTTCAACACACATCGAGGATGCATTGTCGCGATAACGCCAGGTAGAACGTGCGCTTTCGCGAGGTAGAGGTGTAGCATACTGATCGCGTGGGAAAGGGTCACGGCGTGAGAGGCGCGAACCGCATGATGCAACAGACGCCACTGAGAGAGCTCGCTTCCGTTGTCGTATCGTATTGCGCGTAGTATTGTGTAATCCGTCGCAAAAAGCAACGTGATGCTCGAATCAATGAGGGAGGTGTTGGAGGCTGTGTGGTGTTTTGCAGCTCGAAGCGCAAGTCGACCGAGTGGGCCTTACCCAGGACAGCACTAGCGTGAAGCGCGGCCGCCATTTGGCCGCTGTCTGAGCAGCCGGCTTGCTCTTTTCTTCCTAAACACCCACCTGCGGTTCACATCACCGTGCACGTGATCCCTGCGATGACTTTGCACCTAATATACCAAACTAAAAATCACTATTCCAGCAACCATTGACGTACACCAAATCACCATCATGAACCACGACGGTTTCTCAATCACGCCCTCCCTCTTCACCCCTTCTCGCTCTACTCTTTCTCTCCATCTCGCAAACCACCACGGATGCTCGTTCCATGCATCAGTCACTGAACTGCTCCAGCTCATATCACCGTCGCCTTCTGTCTCATCTTCATTCCTATCCGTATCATCTCCACTGTTACTAGTATCATCTCCATCACCCGAATGATATCCCCGTTCGTCGTTGCAACACCACGCGTCTATCACACTTCCCGGATGAATCCTAGCATCCCAGTCTCCACTGCTGATCGGCATGTCTTCGTTAACGTCCCATAGCTCATGGACGATGATGCTATCGTGGCTGAGTTCATCCAACAGGGCGTTGGTATTGGACCATTTGGAGTAAACGTGGTAGTCAAGTGTCTTGATGTGTGTGGAGTCTTCAGAACGGAAGGTAAGGGATATTGGAGCGGACTGTGGTGGTTGTGCTGCTGCTATGGGATGCGTTGGATCCAATGGAAGTCTAACATCTCCAGCGTAGACACCGAAGCCGATTCCAGAATCGATCCGGGGAAGCCTCGTGCTTGCGTCTTCTGTCTTTCGATCCCCCTCTTTCGATACGTCGCTGATGAGCCATCGCAGTAACCAATTGTTGCTGAGATGATAGAAACGATTAATCCGAAAGCCGGAGGACGATCTGCGGTCATCTGGTTGTCTTTCGAAGTTGCCGCCAGAAGCATCTTCTCTATTTGTTGGTATAACATCGCTTCTTTCCTTCGATAATTGCATATGGTTCATAATGACATCTCCCGCTCATCTTTCGAAATGTTTGTGAGGGCATCTGTCAGCCCTTCATAACCCCCATCATAGCGCTTGCCCGATCTTCCAGCCGCAAAACAGCTGTAGGTAGAGCTAGTCGAAGGACCGCATGTCCTGAACAAAGACTCTCATTCGCCATGCCTACATCTCCCGACTGCCCTCGTACAAGCCGTCAAATACACATGGAATGAACACAAGCGCCATGTACCCTACGGCTCTTGTCTATACCTTGAGGTGACAAGTCTCAAAGATAGTAGCAAGGTCGTACTAAACCCACCAATCCCCACGTTCTCTACATGACAGGTCTCACGAATTCTATGGTCTTGAGTTGGCAGGTCTCGATGATGGAAGATAGGTGACACTAGATCCACAATACTGCTCCCGTCCCGAACAACCGAACAAAGGGTCGACGTCGACACACTGTCACGGACCGCGCTTGCTATGTTGCACCCGCGGCAACGAGGAAGAAGAGGCAAGGTGGCCGACGACGGCAAGAGCCCAGTCTTAGGTCTTTCCATGTTCTCGACCAAAGAAAATACAACGTGGGGGAAGTGTTTCCCACTCGCTTCCAAGTATTTTACACATGCAGAGCTCAATAGCAGACGATGTCCGTTTCGAATGAGACGGATATTAAGTGGGAAGAATAAAGTCATTTCTACATTCCAACTACATCCTGTTACCAGTACATCCCGCAATAACCGAAGAAAGAGCCGCCGTGAACACACTGTCACGGAGCGCGCTCTGATGCGAGGGAGGGGACATCCACCACCTCCCCTCCACCTCCCCTCCGCCTCCCCCACCCACCCAGAAAGCGGCCGACGACGGCAGCTTCATAGTCTTGAAGTCCTTCATATCCCCAACCAAAGGTTCTTGCACCTATCAACCTGATGCGATGAGAAATGAGACTGATCGAATTCCCTGTTTGATTCGCTTCATTCTGGACAGACCCGTGTGTCACGCGAGCTTTATATGATGGTGATTGTTCGGTAAGAATATGAAGTCATTCCTACATCCTAACTACATCGCTTCGTCTTCGTCTTCGTCTAAAAACGACCGTGGAACACATCAACACTAAATCGTGCTACTATGTGAATACAAACATCGAGGATATCTATCCATCCTAAACGCCAATCGCTATCCCTAGATCATCAAAAACAGAAATCGTACAACCGAAAAAAACATCAACCACGATCATCGTCTTCATGGCCCTTCATTGCCGTCGTCGTCGAGTCATTCCCTCTCCTTCTCTTTTCCCTTACCGAGCGGGCTCAGACCCGCCCCACTCCCCACCCTCTTACTCCTAATACTCGTCTGCCTCGCCAAACTTGCCTGGCTCGCTTTCCCCCTAACCTTCAAACTCTTAATCGAATTCGACGGGCTCGGTCGAGGCGACATTCTGGGTGTACCCCCTCTACTTCCACTACTGCTCATCTGTTCAAACCTCCCCGCAAGATCCTTCACCCTCGTCGGCGACGCATTCCCGTTATTCCCATTCTCATCCCCAGCATCCCTTGGAGGAACATCACTCAATATGCTCGCGCCATCGATATCCGCGTTAACGACTCTGAGTTTACTTTTAGGGACGGTAAACATGACTTGCACAACGCGGCGCTCGACGGCGGCTTCGACGTCCCAGTCTGCTTCGCTGGCGGGGGTGCAGGGACGGTCTCTTTCATCTCCTCTGTCGTGTGATGGTGGTACGCCTAGCTGGTCTGGGGAGATGGGTGTACGTGGGGTAGGCAATCTCTCCTCGCTATTGATCGTAACGAGGAGGTTGCTACCGCGTTCCCGCCATTCCTGGCGTGCGCGTTCACGCTCGAGTATGGCGATGTCCTCGGGTGCGCCCCAGTCATCGCCTGCAGTGCGGCGCCAGGCGGGGTCTTGTTCTTCTTCGAGCCAGTCTTGCTTGCCGCGGCGGTTACGCCAGAAGCTTGCGTCGGAGGCGGCGCGTTGGGGCGTCGAGTTTGTAGTCGCAGGAGCAGGCAGAGATTTCCTGTTGATGGAGCGGGGGGAGGGGTCGACCGGGGAGATGGGATCGTCTCTGTAGGGCTCGTGGTATGTTGGTGCTGTTGTGAGGGAGCGCGTGCGTTCGGCGCTTGAGACGGAGCGTGTCAATACTCTGCGGACGCTGCCTAGCCAGCTCATTCTGCGCTCTCTGGTTGCAGGACGAGGGGCTGATGATAGGTCTAGTGCAAAGGATGTTGCTGGTGTGGCTGTGGCTGCGCGACTGTTGCTTCGGTCGGAGTCGCGGTGTGTGGTTGAACCGGATGAGCTGGTGTCGGGTCTGGATCGCTCTGGGTTTCCACCGAGAAGTACCTCGCCTTCTGCTTGTAGACGAGAAAACGATGATTGTGCGGTGCGGAAGGAGTCGACATCCTGCTCTCCTTGTAGGCTACTGAAGGACTGCGTTCGCGGGTCTTCTGGTGAATGGCGACCAGGCTTGTCATGAGTAGGACTTGTATCAGGCGTTTTGAATGGGTTGGCACGCATGGCTGTGTTCAACATGGGACCCGAACGCATAGATGCACTGCGGCCAACGCCCCCATTAGACGACGTCCAAGATAGCGTACTCCTCTCGCTAAGGTTTGAGCTTGTACGTTCCGAAGTAGACTTATCAGGCGACAACCTTCCAGCTGAATTAGTATTAACCTCATAGCTCTGGTGTTGAGGCGACGGGAACGCCGAATGAAGGGTGTTCCTGTTACGTCCAGGCGATTCCGTAAATGGATCCAAAACTGGAGCGTTATCAAGTATTGCCGACCCAGATCTTTGTCGTGTCTCTGCCATTTCCTGATGCCTGCCCGGTGTATTATTGTCGTGCGCTGACTCCTCATCAGGCTCCTCCTCCAACTCATCAATAGGATGTATGCTTCCCGGACCTCGGGGCCTGCCCATGGCGTACTGTGGTCTACCGCTCAAGTTGCGTCGCAGTCCACGCGTTGGACTTGGGATCTCGACCAGTAGTCCAGTTCTCTCCACATCGCCCCGGTTGGTGGCCTTCCATCCTTGTCCACCCTGTGTACCGGCTGTGAAGTAGTAAGGCCCGTTCTGATCGGTAATGTAGTCCAGAGCATCCGAGTTTCCGCCGCGGCCATCGAAGCTTTGAGGGTAGTCTTCGGCATTGTATCTGTGAGTAGTGTAGGAGATTTCTTGCAGTTGCTTTTCACGGAACTCCCTTCGCTTCTTCATACGCCTTGCATACCACATGTAGAGCGCGAACACTCCACATATCGCAGCCAAACCGATACCAACACCGACACCCAAGCCAGCCTTTTGTCCAGTCGTAGACAACAGCCCGCTACTCGCAGACTCTGACGGCGACTCTTTGACCGGGGGAGTATAATCCGAGATCCAGGTATTCGATGTGACGTTAAGGAAGTATGTTTGCGTGTTTGCTGCTGGCGCGACGTCTTTTCGCTGTGTGCCGGATGATGGAATAGAATAGCCTCCGGTAATCATCAGTACACCTCCTGGGAGCATGGCCGCTCCATGGCCATAGAGACCACCGTCATTCGGCAGTCCGGTACCAGTAGTAGAGGGAACCACCCACTGCCAGTCACCAGCACCACCGTAACCATCTGCGACGCTCAGTATGGCGAACTGGGGGTCTGCCGGTGTATTGATGTCGCCCACCCAACCTCCGACTACAATGATCTGCTGGCCATCCGGACTCAGCACAGCGGTATGACCGGAACGAGGATCGATCGAGGTGACGTCTGCTCGAATAGCTAGGTCTGTGCGGGAGGTGTCAGGTTGATCGACGCCGATAAAGGTCCAGCCCTGTTCCGGAAGGGAGAAGAGCGCAATCTGCGACATGTTGATGAAGGCAGCACTGGTATGGCCTCCGATGAGGACGAAGTTCTGCTGTTGTATCTGCGTGCCATCGCTTCGGTCGGAGAAGGTTGGTGAAAGACCCGTGATGGTGAATCCTGCTTCGGGTATAGGCGGTCCGCGGCTGGAGGAGACATCGATGTCGTAGTTGAGTGGCTTGCTCGTATCCTCCGATGGTTGTACGGTGACCATGAAGTTTGAGTAGTTGGCCGCAGACTGCCAGTCGCTCGCGGTATCATTCTGGTCAGGACACATGCCACCGAAGAAGTATGCGCCAGTATTCGCAGCCTTCCCTCCCACGATGGACGAGAAGGTCATGCCACCGCTGAGGTAGTTCGCGCCCATGATGGACGTATGCGAACTGTCGACCACCGAAACATCCTGCTTGCTCCAACTGCCCTTGACAACATTCTCTGAGGTATCCGGTACAAAGCTCCACAATTCTCCACCACCCGCACCCAGAGTGCAGTCGCCCGTGTATACAGTCAGGTTGCCGTCGTGGTCGAGAACCGGGGTGAAAGCGCGCAGGGCATTGTCGTCGAGGAAGGGCAGCGTTGCGTACAGTGTGTTGTAGGGCAGATTCGACGCTTTGACCTGGGATGATAGATCGATGGTGCTCAGTGCGAATTGCGTGGACGATTGCGACGACGGGCGGAAGACGTAGAGGGTATCATTGTTCTGGAGGAGACGTGTAGGGTTGTATGGCATCTGGGCGGCGACGGCAGACAGCAGTAGCGAAGTCGACAGGAGTGGTAGCCATTGCATCCGAAGTTCGATAGGCAGCCTTAGTGATGTCGACATAGTGGTGGTGTGATGCGCGAGGACCTTCACCTCGAATGCTGGAGATAACGTCCCATGAACCACGACGCTGAGAATGCGGGACAGCGTAACACAGACTCTGGAAAGCGACAGTACAGGTGGAGATGTAGATGCGCAGACGTAAACCAGACAGTGGGCTTAGATCTGCGGGCCATGCACGGGACCGTCTAGAGTCGAGATGGCTGGCGTTCGGGGTTCGTTGCAGGGGCCGCACGGTTTGTTTACGCGACCGCGTAACCTTGGAACAGGATCTTCTACCTTGCAACTTTAGGCTAGAAGAGCTGCAGCGCCCTATGCAACACAGCTGTATGCTCTTCCAACTATACTGCACATCAACACGCAGACACACATACACACAGATAGATGAGACCTCCACCACCTCCCCTCCGCCTCCCCTCCTCCTCCCCCACCCACCCAGTGGGCTCAGATCTGCGGTTCATGCACGGGACCGTCAAGCGTCGAGGTGGCTGGTCTGTCAACAGAGGCCCAGCCCGCAAAGCTCTCGACCCAGCCGCGTAGGACTCGACTAAAGTTGCGTAACATACTATTCTAGCGTGTATATCTCGGTGAGAAGCGTCCATCGGTCCAATCATTGTTTAGTATTGTAATCGGGGACTGGCCCGGATCGCGTCTGGGCCTGATTTGCCCTGATTTTCCCACGCCAAGCTGGTTAGTAAACAGGGTCGTTCGGGGCAACGGCTTTTCGTGGCGCCACCAATCCTTGCCTGTGAGCATATAGCCATCGCCAACGTCGGGCTTGACAGACGGAAAAGTTTCTCAATACATACGCAGGCACAGAGAAAGATCAATAGGAAGCGATAGGAGACCTCCACCACCACCCCTCCACCTTTGGTGGCGTGCGCGCATCATAGCATGTGAAGATATAGCCCGTTAACGACGTCCGATTATGGGCCGTCGCTGTCGTTCGATTGAGCTGCTGGAATTGTTTTTGCGAAAGATGCCGTCGTCGGAGAAACAATCGCCCTCGTGATGCGTGCTCTCGGTGTTGCGATGGAAGAGAGGAGGTTGGTAGAAGGTCGGCGGTATGACAGCACCGTCAGCACGAGCGCAGCGCAGCCCCCACCTTCCAAGGTTGCGCCTACCGCTTCCACGCGCAAAAGTCGATGACACTACCTTCCCATCCGCTTTTGTTTCAGATACACGACATATCAGCTGAGATCTATTGAATTTTCGGGCCTTTCGTCGTCGAGAAGGTTTTCGCGTGCTGGGAACGCGTCGACATACCACAACCCCTCCTCTATTATCGACTTTGTCGGCCGATGCATTTAGGAGACATCCTTCTGCATTGCGAATATATTGAGTATCACCTAGCAGCGCCGTGTCTTTATTGAAGTACCAGCACGTTCATCAAAGCAGTCGTCGTGTGCGCTACTGCTGGGTAGGTATATGTGGGTATTGCTTATGCCGTCAGTATTATAGACGTGGGAGCTAGCTTGAAAGCGCTTCATCGGGAAGGCATTATGGAGGTCCATGTAGTATTGTATTGTAAGTTAACAATAGAATCACAAACTGAAAATAGACGCAATAAGGCGATGGATGATGAGTGTAAGTTGTCCCGAGCAGCGCACAGACGTCTAAGAAAGGCTCCCGGAAGGTAGAACAGAACGAAGACCACTATATAGGTGAGGCGATCGGGAAGATACAGAACATCACAGCCTATTTACACATGAACAATGCGTTCATCACACACATCAAGTACTTGGTTGTAGAGCGACACTGACATATCTCCATTCAGCTCATCCAAGATCAAGATGAGATCGTCTACTCTACATCGACGACAGAGCTCTTGCTCCATCACACGCTATCTCATCTCCCTGCGACAATCGTCGCACACATAGTCCCCAAGAATAATCAAAACGCCAAAGCCAGCCCATTCGCTGCTTGTGATGAACGCCGATGTTGAGATGCGTCCATACACACACCTCTCTTCAATCCTTTTTGCACCGCCAAACGACCCATGATGCAGGTTGAACTTTTGGGTATCATAACTAGTCATTACACACATTACAAAGCGGCATGTTGATATGCTGCTTGAACTGACCCCGTTGATGAAACGAGGTCAAAGAGGATATGCCAAATGGCAAAGAGCCTAAGAAGAGTACTTCTCGCGGTAGAACTTGGCTGCGTTGACAAGGTTGACAAGCGCCGCCTTGGTCTCCTTCCACTGGCGGGTCTTGAGACCGCAGTCGGGGTTGACCCAGAGCTGCTCAGGCTTGAGGTAGGTGAGCATCTCGGCGAGACGGTCCTTGATCTCCTGCTCGGAGGGGATACGAGGGGAGTGGATGTCGTAGACACCGGGGCCAATGTGGCGGGGGTAGGCCTTGTCCTCGAAGACCTTGAGGAGCTTGGCGTCGCTCTTGCTGTTCTCGATGGAGAGGACATCAGCATCGAGCGCGGCAATGGCGTGGAAGAAGTCCTGGAACTCGGAGTAGCAGAAGTGGGAGTGGATCTGGGTAGAGTCCTGGACACCAGCGCAGGCGAGCTTGAAGGAGTCGACAGCCCATGAAAGGTACTTCTCGCGCTCAGTGCCGGCACGGAGAGGAAGACCCTCACGGAGAGCGGGCTCGTCGACCTGGATGACGTAGATGCCAGCAGACTCAAGGTCAACAACCTCGTCGCGGAGGGCGAGAGCAAGTTGCTGAGCCTGGACAGACTGGTGGACATCGTCACGGGGGAAGGACCACCGGAGGCAGGTGATGGGTCCAGTAAGCATACCCTTCATGGGCTTCTTGGAGATGGAGGCGGCGTACTTGGACTCCTTGACGGTCATGGGAGCAGGGCGCGAGATGTCACCGACGATGATCGGGGGACGGACGCAGCGGGATCCGTAAGACTGGACCCAACCCTTGGTGGTGAAGGCATAACCGTCAAGGCGCTCACCGAAGTACTGCACCATGTCGTTACGCTCGGGCTCGCCGTGGACGTAGACGTCAAGGCCAAGCTCGTCCTGGATCTTGACAACCTCCTCGATCTCCTTCTCGATGAACTTCTCGTACTCCTCGGGTGTGATCTCACCCTTGGTGAACTTGTTACGCGAGATACGGATCTCCTTGGTCTGGGGGAAGGATCCGATGGTGGTGGTAGGGAACATGGGAAGGTTGAGGTGCTTCTTCTGCTGAGCGTAACGCTCGGGGAAGCCAGACTTGCGCTCGTGCTGCTCAGGGGTGACGCTGGCCTGGCGGTCCTTGACAGCCTTGTTGTTGGTGCGCTCAGATGAGGCACGAGCCTGCATCGACTTGGCGTTGGCCTCAAGAGCCTCACGGACGGATGCTGGGCCATCGTTGACAGCCTTGGCGATGACAACGACCTCGGAGACCTTCTGGCAAGCGAAGGAGAACCAGTCCTTGACCTCCTCGGGCAGCTTCTTCTCGCTGTCGAGAGAGTGGGGAGTGTGGAGAAGGGAGCTGGAGGTGGCAACGAGGACACGGTCCTTGCCGAGCTTCTGGACAGCAGTCTCAACAATCTCGATGGCGTTCTTGAAGTTGGTCTTCCAGATGTTGCGACCGTCGACGACACCGACGGACAGAACCTGGTTGGAGCCAAGCTTGCCGATGACGCTCTCGAGCTGCTCAGGGTTCCTGACAAGGTCGATGTGGATACCAGCAACACCCTGGAGGCTGGGGAAGACCTCGAAGTTGTGGACGACGTCACCGAAGTAGGTGGCGAGGACAAGCTTGGGCAGACCGCTGCCGACGAGCTTCTCGTATGCGGGCTTGAAGGCATCCTTGACCTTCTGGGGGAGGTCGTAGACGAGGACAGGCTCGTCAATCTGGACGTACTCGGCACCAGCCTCCTTCAGCTTCTGGAGGAGCTCGACGTATACCGGCAGCAGCTTCTCGAGAAGGGTGATGGGGTCGACGGACTGGCCACGGTCGGCCTTGCCGAGAGCGAGGAATGAGACAGGTCCGATGAGGACGGGGCGGGTGGTGATGCCAGCCTCCTTGGCCTCGAGGAACTCAGCGACGGGCTTGGGGTTCTCGGCGAGGGTGAAGGTCTGGTTGTCTTGGAGGGTGGGCTTGACGTAGTGGTAGTTTGAGTCGAACCACTTGACCATCTCCTATAGTGGGGTCAGATGCTGTTGATAACTCCCGAACTTTCGGGACTTACCAGCGAGGGGACGTCGACACCGTCCTTCTGGTGGCCACGGCCCATGGCGAAGTACTCATCGAGCTTGTGCAGCGAGTGCTTGGAGTAGCGCTCTGGGATAGCCTGGTCCTGTTAGTCGATTGCAGCGGGTATTGAATGACGTGTGCTTACGTTGAAGAGCTGGATGTGGTCGAGGAGGTGGTCGTAGAAGGCGAAGTCGTTGCTGGGGATGACATCGACGCCGGCGTCCTTCTGGATCTTCCAGTGCTCCAACCGCAGGCGCTTGCCCTCCTTGATCAGGTCGTCGCGCGAGAGCTTGTCCGCCCAGTAGGCCTCGTTGGCCTTCTTGAGCTCACGGTCCGCACCCATGCGGGGGAAACCGAGTACTGAAGAGTGTACCATTGTGATGTGATTGTCCGATGCGGACAACTGTGATAATTGGGGGGATGGGTAGGATGTGGTAGAGGGGAGGGGGAAGAGGGTGAGGGAGGAAGGTGGGATGTAGGAGGAAGAGTGGTAGCGGATGGTGTGCTTTATGTTTTTTGCTGGCGTATGCAGCAACGTCGCGGGGTTGGCGCCTACGTGGCTCCGATTCGACGGTGCACTCACCGCCCTCAACTTTATTCTGCAACGGCGAGAACAATCCGCCGTTCGTCAGGGCTTCCCTCAATCTACGCAGTGTGGAGCGATTATCTTGGACTATCCTGCTGCTTTAGCGCTCCCATGCCCACAGCTATCGCGCACTAGCTCTGCTAATGCTAACTTTTCCCCAAAGCGACATCGGCGGAGGGGCGCTCGGAGCCTTGGCGGTGACGAGCTTGCGCAACTTCAAGCGTGTCCGGTGAGAATTCGGATGTTTCCACAGCACAGGGACGAGGCACCCTGTAAAGATTCACGCAGGAACGATCCCTTCTCGACTGGGTGTTGGGTATTGGCCATGGCTAACACGTCGTCCATGACAGCATGAATCAGCTCCGCGCCAGCTCTTAGCGGGTTCTGCATCTCAACAGGCATCTTCTGGGTTAGCTCAGACCCTGAAGATCATCGACATCGGGACAATGCCATCAACTCGTCTCGAGCAGAACACCAAGGCGGCATGCGAGTCAGGTGTCGTCGGTGGTTTGTACTGCAGCTCTTCTCACGATGGTCGGTAAATGTCCGAGCGAAGGGTTCACGACGAGGCGGCGGAACCACCGAGTACTTGCCTTATTTAGCTGTCTCCACAACCCCGCATCGTGTATAAAACCCCGCCATCAACAAGCCAAGTAGACGATAACAAGCGCAACAACCCCCCGAGCCAGTGAAACACACACGGATAATATTCACACGCATATCACAATGGCTTCAAGACCGACTCACACCCGAACCGCCTCCACAAACCTGGCCGGCGGCTCAGGCCAGCGCGTGTTGGAAGGAAGGAATGCCATCATCACAGGAGCATCGAGGGGTATTCAAACCACATACCCAAACTACATCCAATTCTAACACCCCCAGGCATCGGCGTAGAAATCGCCCGCAACCTCGCCAGCAAAGGCTGCAACGTTGTCATAAACTACACCTCCGACTCCTCGTCCAAGACCGCCGAAGACCTCGCCTCAGAACTCTCCGCCGAATACGGCATAAAAGCCATCAGCGTACAAGCGAGCATGGGCTCAGAAAACGGCCCCGCCCACCTCGTCGAAGTAACCAAGAACAACTTCCAGCACCCCAAGACGGGCAAGTTCCAACTCGACATCATCATCAACAACGCGGGCGTCGCTGGAAACAACTACGTCGAAAACGTGGATTGTGAGGACTTTGCGAGGCAGTTCAATATCAATGTGCGGGGGCCGCTGCTGCTGGTCAAGGCTGCGACACAGTACTTGCCGAATGACCGGTCTGGACGTATCGTCAACCTCAGCTCTGTGAGTTCGAGCCTGGGATACAAAGGCCAGTCTATCTACGGTGGTACAAAGGCAGCGTTGGAGAGCATGACGAGGACGTGGTCAAGGGAGTTGGCGGAGCGCTGCACGGTTAATGCGATTAATCCTGGTCCTGTTGCTACGGATATGTACTGGAGTAATGACGACGCGTTTATTGCGCAGAACAAGCCGTTTATCGAGAATACGCCTCTTGCGGCGCCAAGGAAGGGTATTGATCCGGAGAGGATCTATGAGGCGTCGCAGGGTGCTGGTGGACGGCCGGGTTACAGTGAGGAGATTGGAGGTGTAGTGGGGATGTTGTGTTTGCCTGAGGCGGGGTGGACTACTGGAAGTGTTATTTGCGCGAATGGGGGTATGAAGTTCAGCTTTTAGATACCTGGGCAAACGACAACGAGACGGATATGATGTCAAGAAGGATACTTTCTTCGGTCGGGATCTAATGTACCGCACACGCGTAACACTCTGCCGTACTTCCCCATTCCCACCCTCCCAAACCTCACTCTCAATAACTACACTCGAAGTCTTTCTAATCCTTTTTTCTCCATCTTCTTTAACAACAATCCCCCTTTCGGAATCTCTATCACACCTCCAGCCTGCCCCCATCCTTTCGTCACTCCCCACACTAACCCCGTCATCATCCGCACATTCGTACCCATTCGTCTTTGCAATCCGCGAACCAATGGTCTTGAGCTCAGATTGGTGCTGCGAGTTATCTGTATCATGTCCTGCACTACGGCTTTGCTTGGTACCGCGACTCCGATTCCGACTACTGCGTAACGTAGATTCGCCGATGAGGTGGGGAGCGACGTGTCGAAAGAAGAGGCGCATGGTGGGGAGGCAGCCGGTTATTATTACGAGGTTGGCTTCTATGAGGCTGGTCGGGACGTTAGTTAAGATATCTGATGGTGACCAGATTGAGTGGTTTGCGACATGGACATCTTGCTTTGGGGCATGAGACGGGGGAGTAGGATGTGATAGACTTACATCCAGATTCCCGGCATGACGATCGCCCAGGTCTGATCGACTGTTTGGAGCATGGGGAATATGAGGGCGAGACGGACGCCGCTTGTTATACACGTTCTGTTGTGTCTGTTAGCTCATGCTTGCCATCTCCATCAACCTTTTTGCGTCGATTGCCACTTACAGTGAGCCCACCCCAAAGATACAAATCAACCCCAACTTCTGCGCTCTTGGCATCTGCAACCTAACAACCATCGGCACCGGCAGAACCAGCAACAAGATATCCGTCGCCATATTCAACACCGCCGTCGCTATATAAAGCGGTGTCCTATCAATGCAACTTCCTTCGGTAATGGTAACATCCCAGTTCCGTCGAAACGGCGTACAAGCGAAGATGAGCGGGAAGACAAGGGCGATATTGTAGCCGACCACGAGGAACATGCTTGCGTAGACACATGATTTGAACCACCGGAGGTGTGATAGGCGGAGGTAGAAGAAGAGGAGGGAGAGTTTGGCGCTGGCGAGGAAGGGGCAGTAAATTATACTTGCTACACTGATCAACTGTTGAGTGGTTAGTCGGGATTGTTGGGAGGTGTTGATGAATGGTGCTTACGTTCATGGTAGAATTGACGCGGTGCCCGATTAGCTCCCAGATGTGGACGCCGAGTGTGCCGCGGCCGTATTGGACTGTTGAGTTGTTAGATCAGCGATGGTGGAGACTGGCTTCGGTAGACGTACAGAGGATGGGGACTTGCATTGCGATGGAAAAGCACTGTAGGTTCGATTGCTAGCACGATTTGTCGAACATGCCATCTTTTTCAAGCTGCGATGCAACGCACCCAGGCTATGAGCAGCGCTACTGTAGATACTGTTAGACACCAAGCGTACTGATTTCGGCCTTTGTCGATCTCGGCCAGAACTGAAGAGCTTACTATGATCTGGTGTAAAGTTCTTTGCTAGTCTCGTCTTCGTGTAGACGCGTATAGCCATGAAGATGGCGGCGATGATCATGCCCAGGGTGCCAATCCAGAAGTTGGCAGCCTCGCCCGTTCTCTGGGGGTTATCGACATCGACAATGTAGCCAGGCGGAGCCGGAAAGATTGGCTTGTTCATGTCCATGATGCGAATATGTGGAGAAAGAGCGCGTCCCTGCTAATGTGCGAAGCTGATGTGTCTATATTTCAGTTCAAATTCTCGTCCCCATGGTCTGGGTCATCGCATTCCGTCATTTCTTGCTCTGGTCGACCGACATACTCAACATGTAACCATGTTCCATGTCACATGAAATCCTGCTGTTGACTGTGATGGTCAGTGTTAGCGCACGAGCAATGTCACTGTACACGCCGCATCGCTTAGGCAGTGAGGCTCACACATGCAGCAAGAGATTGGCCTGGAGTACTGCACCGCCTACCAAGAACTTGGTCAGTATACCTGTGCCACTCAACTGCATCGGAACCATGACTGTACATGGCAATAATGGCTCAGATGTCTTCCTGCCTGGCGGAAGCTTGGGGTGAGCATAAGCATGCCAAGATTGTGGCGTTCATAGAATTGGCCATCCCTTAGGCATCGCATCCATCAGTGTGGTCGACCGAGGTCTCCGAAGCGTCTGTTGATGATCCTTTGTAGAGCGACTGTGCCTCATTTCCAGCTCTCCGTGGTCCGCTCCCCAGGGTCCCGGATGATCCGCAAATTAACTTCTTGTGCCGAGCCGTGTGTAAAGTGATCTCGAACCTATGGAGAGGCATGCGTTCATTGACCCCTGCAAGCCACAATTTAGCGAACAAATCGAAGGCATTGCCGCTTCGCTGCCGACGGGTGTATAACCCTCGCGGCACAAGTCCAACGCCACATTGCGATCAGTTCTGGAAGCAATGTTGGCATCCTTCGAGCATCCAGCTTCATCTCATCTGTCGAGTCATTGCTGAGCAGGAATTGCGCATCCTTGTTGATGTTATTCGCTCAACCTGTTGAGAGATATGAGCGAGTAGAAAAGCGTGCCCCAGCCTGCGTCAAGGTTTCGATCATCGAGTGTTCCTTGTGTTATCTCTTCATCTATTGAGCTCGTTATCAGCATGACTCGTTTGTCCCTTACCTTACTTGCGGCAGCGGCTGTCGTCCCATTCGCACATGCTGACTATTGCGTGAGGCTGCTTCCTAGTTCCCTTCTATTCGAAACGTCTGCTAACATGTACAGTGTTCCGCTCTTGCACTCACCTCCCTAAAGAGTCGGCTGCTCTACCCTGGTCAAGATGCGTATGAGACGCGGGAAGATTCCTACTTCGATGTAAAGCAGCAAGCTATCACACCCAACTGCATTGTCCAGCCCAAGACCGCCAAGGAAGTCGCTCTTGCTGTTAAGACTCTCACAGTCGCTAGTCGGTTGAAGTCATGCAAGTTTGCGATTCGCAGTGGTGGACACACTCCATACGTTGGAGCCTCAAACATTGAGGATGGCGTAACAATCGACCTGCACTATCTCAACACCGTTGAGTATGATGCTAAGAAGGCCCTGGTCAAGGTCGGTCCTGCGGCAACATGGAACGATGTGTACGACACTCTGGAACCACTGAAGGCGATGACGAGTGGTGGGCGTTCGTCCACAGTCGGCGTCGGTGGTCTTACGCTCGGCGGTGGAATCTCATACTTCTCGCCGGGGCGGGGTCTGGTCTGCGACAACGTCATCGAGTTCGAGGTTGTCCTCGCTGACGGTCGTATCGTGACCGCGTCCAAGACTTCGCACCCAGATCTCTTTGCTGTCCTCAAAGGCGGCAACAACAACTTCGGTATCGTCACTAGCTTCAAATTCGGCACCTTTGACTACGCCGGCATGTGGGGTGGTCTCGTTATCTACCCAGAGTCGACAATACAAGACCACTTCAAGGCCCTCATCAACTTCTCCAACAACATTGATAAGGAACCTAAGGGCTCAGCTATCGTCATGCCGGTGTATCAGAGCTCAGCGGGCGCCGATCTGATCCTGAACGCGTACGACTATGCCGAGCCGATATCGAGACCCGCGGCTTACGACGAGTTTTTGGCAATTCCTGGCAACATCTCGGATTCCACGGGTATCAGGAACATGTCATCGCTGGCTGCGGAACTCGCGGGCGCTACTACACACAGGTAAGCTAGCCGCCATTGCTCTTGACAGATGCTGATCAAAACCTAGCGTATACTTTGGCACACTGACTTTCGCGAACGACCTTCGCGTCATGACCAAAGCCCATGAGATCTACATGGATGTGCTGTCCAACTTGAAGGCCAAAGCTACGGGTGACTGGCAGATCTATGTGCTCTACCAGCCCCTTCCGCCTTCGTACTGGAGGCAGAGCGCGTCCAAGGGCGGCAACATGCTGGGCTTGGAGCGCTTTGGTGAACAGGTGCTGTGCTGTAAGTTCACCATGAAGTTCTGTGAAGACTGGACGCTAATTAGTATCGATAGTATACCAACCCTACATCTCTTGGCAAGGCGCTGAGCAGGACGCGCTCTTCCAAGCCGCAGGCGCTGATCTCGTCAACGGTATCCGCGAGTATGCTGAGAGCATCGGTGCCGACAACCCATACCTCTACCTGAACTACGCGGACAACACGCAAGATCCCCTCGCAAGCTATGGTTCCGCTTCAGTGAAAAAGATGAAGGCTGCAGCGAAGAAGTATGACCCTTCCGGTGTTTTTCAGAAGCTTGTGCCGGGTGGCTTCAAGATCTCCAAGGTTCAGTAGGTGATAGATATCTCTTCATAGAACGAATTGATAGCAATGAATGTGTCGGTGTGATGACAACATGACTATATTGTGCCGGGAAGTGCGACTTCCGTTGTGAGCGCGTGCATACCGCGTTCGGATGATGTTCCCGAGTGCCAATGCGGGCTGAAGTCCAAGCAAAAGACTGTCGCGAAATCTGATCGCGCGATACACAAAACATGAGAGCGTGAGAGATGAAGATGTTGGAGAAGACCCATTATTGACGCGTGGCGTCATGAAGGCTGCGGGTGGAGGAAAACAGGGTGGCAGGCAGGCGTGAAAGCCAAAGCCGGATTTCGCTTGGCGCCCGGGCGGGCCCACTTGGTCGCGCTAGCCATATCTGACGATGCGCACCAAGCCAGCACGCGCTCCACGGTGAAGACGCGTCCACCGGTGCATTTCGAGTATTGTACGCAGTATAAGTGCACATAACTAAAATGGGCTTGAGTTCAGAACGATAAGAACGTCATTGATACTTCTAGAGGCCAGCAGCATCCCCCCTGCGTGCGTCAAGGCGCATACTACAGTATCTACAACCATCATCACAACAATCCACACCCAATCGCCCCCGTATGAAGATTGTCAGCTCTCGGCTATGAGGACGACCCATTCTGTAGAGACTACAAAAACAATGTATCCGCAACCTCGCCCATGAAAACACACCTCAAACCCCCATCAACTCAATAAAACGACCTCTCAGCCGCCCTAACCATATCCACATCCCCCCTCTCCCTCCCCTCATACGTCCACCCCCTCTCCCTCACCATCCTCCTCTCACACCCCTGCCACAACCTCTCCATTTCCTCATCGTGGCGATTCCATCCCGGTTTCCTAAACACCGGCTTCTCCCATGGGTCATCTGCGGCCCGTTTGATCCATCCTTTTGTCTCTTTCCATACCATTAACTCGCGCCATTGACCTTGATAATTTGAGAGTGGGGTCAGGTGCGGGAAGAGGCGGTGCCATGCTGCGCGGGGGCCTTCGTTGGGTGGTGGCGTGGTTGGTGTGAGGGGTGGGGAGGGGACGGTGGGTGGTGAGGAGGAGGCGGAGGCTGCGTCGCGGAGGGCGAGGGTGCGGGCCGCGGTTTCTAGTGCGGGGGCGGAGGAGGAAAGTGGTGCGTTCTGGCTTCCACGCGAAGCGGTAGCGGTAGCGGCAGCGGTGCGGGAAGCGGGTCCAGATGTCGAGCCCGAAGCCGCATGCCCACGTGACCGCGAAGCTCCGCCCGTCTTCTCCCTTAAAATCTCTTCGTTTTGAGAGACTTTCAATGTTTTTGTCCGCTTTCGGCGGCCTCTTTCTTCTACTTGCTCTTCTGCTTCCTGCTCTTGCGCATCTCCTTCACTTGCCTCTACCTCATGATGTAAGACAAGAGAAACGCGTTTGCGCTTCGGAGAACCCACCTTGGGATTTTGAACGTCTTGTACGCTTGGTACATCAACCTTGCCTCCACCAACGGCATTCCATATCCTCGCTGGGATAATCAATTTAGGTGATTTCTTCTCCTTTGCTGCAACTTCTACTTCCACTTCCACTTCCACTTCTACTTCTGGTGGTGGTGGTGGTGGTGAAGAAACAACCTCTTCCTGCACCTCCTCTTCCTCTTCCATCTCCACATCTTCATCCTCCTCACATGCACTCTCTGTCTCTTCTCTTTGATCAACCCCTCCATCCTGCACCTCGCGATAAGACCACAGATTTCTCATCAGGTTGTCGTTCATGGCCTGGACTGGGGGGGTTGTAGATAGGGGTTGGAAAGACATGGTGTGTAGGAGTCTGGCGTATGTTTTGAAAATCGAGTACTGAACCGAGAGTGCGATGTATGAGCCTGGGTGTGATGTGCAAGTGCGTTTGTAATAGTGGTGGGGGTATGTAGTAGGCAACTGTATGTATTGCCTGATCTTCTGTAGTAGTTGAGGCAATATGTAGTCCGCTGAGTGTGTGATGACGGCGTGAATGTACGTGGGTTGACCGTATATAGTCCACTGAGTGTGTGATGACAGCGAGAATGTGATTTGACTGGTCGTATGTATCAGCCGAGCAGGTGCGTAATATTTGAGAGTCGGTGGTGGTCGAGCGAGCGTGTGTAGTTGACTTAGTGCTTTAGTCAGTGTGCGATGGGTAGCTCTCTGAAAATAGAGACACAGCGGGATATATCCAGGCTTATAAACAAAACAGTGTGAGAATTTCCCGCGGCCTTGACTAGATGCAACGACTATATCCAGAGTTCGCACTCCCCAGTCGAGAAACGCGCAGTGTGCTCGGACAAGTACCCCGAAAGCCCACCGCAGATATTTCCCATGTCAAACGTGGGAACAAATCACTAGCCCAAGGTCCTCGCCGCACAAGCCACTGCGCTGTTGTGAATTGATAGATGCCTTGTATATCGCGGCATTGCCACTGGCTGCAGAAGTGGAAGTGGGTCGCGGCTCTAATACACGTGAGTGCATACCTTGGGTGAGCAAATACGCGGCCAATGGAAATTCGAGCATTGCACAACCAGCCTCAAGGGCGATGACAACACAACGAGAAATGAACCAAGTATGACGAGTAAGTGCTACGGACTGACCCATGCTGACAATAACGATACATTCGTCGCACTGGCGGACTCGAGGAGCAAATGTTAGACATTACGATGTGACGCGAATTTGACCCACCTCACTGAGCTGCCACACTTTCCCGCGCTTTTCCACTGTCCATCCTGCTGAAGGACAAGATCCTTGCATGCTCCGTAGCCTCCTGCTGTTTGAACTTGGAAATCAGATCCATGGTGCTTCGTCTAACGCTGACCAAGCTCCGCTCCTCGAAAGCGCTGTCATCTTGACCCAGCGAGCCGAAGCTCCTGGCGCGGCTCACATTGCTCATCTGACTCATCTGACTAGCGTTGCGCGTGTGTTTGCGCAGATGAGTAGGCAAAGTGCGCGAGTGCACGGACACCTGCCGGCTATCGAATGAGTGCCGATTTGGGCGACCAAAGTCCTCAAGGACTCGGTTCGTGTCCATACTCAGACGAGGGTATGCATCGACGCAGTTCTCGTAGTAGGTAGACCAGACACGTGCTCGATCGTTTGCGTGCTGCGCATCAGCTGCGCCATCGCCGAATGACATCTCGTTGAGATTGGGCGCAGAAGAATTGCGCCGTGGACGGAGTGTTGCCATGGAATCCTCCGCTCGTAGATTGCTCCTGGATCTAGTCGTCTTCTTCAGGGTTTCTTGCCTCAGCACAGACTGCTCATCACCTGGGATGTACGTGTCAACGTCTCTGTGAGCCTCACCCGCCCACACATCAGGCAAGAGCTCGAGCTCAGGGTGCTCAAGAATGCCGCCAGATGCGATGGAACTGCGGTGTCCTCTACCATGCCTGCGGAACTCTGTGCTCTGACTCCTGAACATCTTGGTGTAGTTCTTCATAAGGGTCTTGCCGAGAGTCATCGAGTTGCTCTTCGCTACACGACCACTGCCAACCTTCTTCTTCTTCTTTTTCTCGCCAGGCAGGAGCGGGGTAGAGAGTCTTCTCTCTGTAGGATCGATCAAGTCCTCGTCATCCGTTGCTGAAGCAAACTTGATCGCTGCCTCTAGTGCAAAGTCGCGAGGCTGGACGTTGTCCGCCTTTCCGGCAGATGCGGTACGGTCATGGCGCGTATGCGAAGGGTAGCGACCCCAGGCCCCAACGACATCCGTGCTGTCGCCCTGCCGCTCAAATGCATTTGCCACTTCTTGTCCAACGCTAACATCATCACGCCCTACCATAGCACTGCGACGAGACACCATTTTGAACAGCCCCTCGGAGCGCTCTTCACCAGGTGTTTCGGCATGGGGATCCAATGTCGATACCCGTGTGCTAGACCCATCATCAGCTCGGCTAGCTGGATCCAGACCTTCGACACTGATGCGTCGCACGGAAACGCTGCCGCTGCGCTCGCGGAAAGGGCTCGCATGAACAGCAAGGTCCCTGTTCTTGGGAAGATAGAGAGATGCTTTCTCGTCTTGATGCGCTTGCAAAGCGCGATCCCATACATGATTGGCGCCTTTGTTCTTTCCGAGTGCATCTTGTTCAGCCTGCATGCTTATCAATGACCGTGACTGACGACGTCCATGATTAACAGGGAGTTCCAGCGTATCAGATGGACCATCGACAGCGGCAAGTGCGACAGTCGAGGAGGCAGAAGCTTCAGACTGTAGATTCGCTTCACTCTGGCTGCGCAGACTCAGGCGCTTCGGGTTCAAGAACTTGATGATGGATGCCGACTGTGTCATCTTCTTTTTGGGTGGAGATGGGCTGAACTCTTCCCGGAATTTGGAGGTCTTGGTATCAGCAACACTGTTCTTGCGTGCTAGCGGCGCCAGCGGTGCAAGAAGCGTGGGCTCGATCGCATAGCCAGTGACAGTTGCGAGGTTGGTAAAACCATGTCGTTTAGCTGGTCTTGGTGTGTCTTCGTTGTCTGTAGGAAAGGAGGCAGAACGTCGAGGCCGTCGTATGTCGGCAGACGAAATGCTGACCAGGCGATTCTCAGTATCAGTGCGCGGTAGAGTCGTCACCGATTCTCCAAAACTGTCGGGTGGGCTTTGGGGCCGACTTGAGTAGATGGAAGACGCAACATCAGGTCGGGTGTCAAGATCGTTCGGCAATACCTTACCCCATCTACTCGGAACCTTTGAGCTGGTAAAGCCTGAGCTCGATGTTTGCCGGTCATGGCGGGCTAGTTGCTTACTTTGTGGGGAAGTTCGGCTCTGGTCTGAGACAGTGCGTTCACGGAATGCGCGAGGCGGAGTTGGGAGCTCTGGTGCATCGGCAAGTTGGTCCCATGAGAGAAGAGACCCGGAGCGTAGATGATGTGAGATGCGCATGCTGTAAAGATGGACAGACCGACGTGGGTTGTCATCGTCGTCATTGTCCTTGCTGTTATGTGCCTGTCCTCGTACTTTACGCGGCGAGTCTCCACGGAGAGTGCCTCTGATAGATGTAGACGGCCTTGGGGTTGCAGTGGAAGTCGGCTGTTGAACGCGGATCTCAATGAGGCGACCACAAGGAGAAGCAGTCGGCCCAAGAGCTCGGTGCGACGATACCGAAGCGGAGCTACTTCGTTTCTGGTGTCGCTTATGGCCGCCATTGTTGAGGGTGGTTATAGATGCCTGTGGACTGATATGGCGCGGAGGCACAGGAAACTGCGAAAGACGGAGACTCTTGTGCATTATCTCAGACCATGGTATGCCAGCGGAGTCGTGGTCGGTAAGACTTGGTAATCGTAATGGTGAGAGGGGAGAAGGCTTCGGCAAGCCCATGGATGTAGCCGAATGCGAGCGTCTCACTCTGTTGTCCTTTCCACCAGGTGTATCCGATCGCAGATTGGGCGTGCTGAACACTTGGCTGAATCGGTGGGAGAAAGGACCGGCCTGTGGCTTGTTGATACTGTACGGAGGGAGGTCGTCGTTGAGGTCGCCGCTGGTGCGGCCGTTTCTTGTGGAGTCTGGTGTTGTTTTGCTGGTGACTGTCAGTATGGCGTGATGAAGAGCTCGCAACATCTAACCTTCCGGTGGTGGTGGTCCAGTCGACGCTGTGGATGCTCGGTCGCTTGATGGGCGATTTCTTGCCGATGTTGTTTGCGATTTCGTCAAGAGCCTCAGCATCTGAATCATAACCGCCCTCATCAGGCTTCTTGTCGCTGAGTAGATCCTTACGTAGGTCATCTTTGGTAATCTGAAGCTGCTGATGCGTTCCGTCTTTCAGTTGCTTGACGACAGTGCCAGTGGCTGGAGTAATGTGCCTTGGTCTCGGCTGCAAATGTGGCGATGAAACGGTTGGGGCTTTCTTAGGGAGCTCCTTCGAAAACTTGCGTCTGATCAGTGAACGCATACTCGTCATCTTGTGTAGACTGCGGATGCTATGCATCGAAGGACGGCTGAAGCGTGCACGAAGCGTTCGCATTGGCATGGCTCGGTCCTCGTTGGAGTCGCGGGCGTTGTGGAAGATCTCATGCAGCTCATGGAGGTCTTCCGAACGGGCACTCGTGAAGCGTGAATTGGGTGAGCTAGCATCTTTGGGTAGGAGTGGCCTGTTCACCGGTGTAGGCTGACTGACGCGGGCGTTGGGTAGCTCGGGCGAATCTGAACGATCGTCCTGCTCGGCCGTACAGCACAGCTTGGTCGCCATAATGGCGAGGTGGTGAAGGAAGGATGAGTGGGTAGCTGCACATGGAAAGTTGCTGGTTTATTGATGGCTGCGTCAGTGCACGTGGAGTGCTTGCCCAAGATCGCAAGCTGGGAAAGAGGGATGAAAACAGGACAGCTTTCCGATACCAACATGAGCTTGTGGAAGTGCCAATGGTTGCAGAAGACATGGTAACGTATGGGGAAGTAGTTTCGATGACGAAGACTAAACACAATGGCGTAAGATGCTGGACAGATGAGGCAGTCGCGGCTGCATCTATGTTGTGGCCTCATAAGGTGTGGAAGGAGCGTGTCATATGCTGTTCATGGCGACTTCCCAATGCAGTGGCTATCCAAACATACAACACAAGTCTGACGCAGCCGAAGTGGCGTTTGGTCGCGATATGCATGCCCTCTGGTGTTGCGTCTGAGAGAGACTCGAATATGCATCACTGTTGCACATGCCATGCACGTGGTTGTATCTCAGCCCATCATCTTCTTGCCGCTAGCATCCCCGCTGTATAAGCCCTGGTCTTTGATCCAAGCGGCAACGCCTTCAGTACACAACTTGCCTACTACGTCCCAGTCACCTGCGTTGGCTGCCTTCCTCACTCTGGTAGAGCTTATACCAACGCCTTCCTCGGCTTGCACCATATCGATGCTGTTGCCCCAGGCAGGCTCAAAGCCGGCCTTTTCCTGATTGCCATCTTTCAGATCCTGCAGGTATCTCTCCTGCTCCTCCGTTGTACCAAATTCGTTCGACGACTCGTCGCTCGGGTCTGTGGGCCGCTGGGTCACGCGCAGCTTGTGGCCGGCATCGAAGAAGGGCTTGAGCGCCGAGAGCGGTGGGTCGTACTTGGGGTAGTACTTGGGGTTGCAGAAGCGGATCAGGGTGTCGTAGCCGACGAGGTGGATGTGAATGGGTCGCGACGCGTAGAATGGTGGCGTGGTCTCGGCTATGGCAACCGACTTGTCACTGTAGTATGGTTCCTTGGTTAGGCCAATGTCTATCGACACGTTGGAGACGTCATCATTCATCGAAGGTGACGCGCTCTTCAAGCTTCGCGACAAATCCTCGGCAAACACGGTCATGAGGGCGATGCGCTGCACGAAGCTTGCCGGACTCGGTGCCTTGTCTGCATTGTGGGTGCTGAACAGCAGTAACAGCCGGTACGGGCTCTTCTCTAGGGGCGTCGACTGCTTCAGGGCCGATGTTGCGAGGGTAAGGTGGGCAATTGACGGCGGGTTGAAGGAAGAGTCGAGGATGTATAGTGTCTTGGGCTGTGTTGGCGTGTCGTTGACTGTCCGTACGACGCGGAACTTGGCGGGAGACGAAGTAAATGAATGCAGCGCTGATTCCAGATCAGGTAACAAACTCCTTACTGACGCGATTCGCGATGCCATGTCAGCCATTGTGGTTGCGAAGCTTTACCGATGCGCTGAGCTCAAAGCGCGCGGGGAGCTCTTCTCGCGTCCGGCACGTCATGGCTCTCACCCCTGCCCTCTCACAACACCAACACCACAACCTCCTGCATCTCCAATAACGCCACATCCGCGCTATCTTTCCAGCACTTCACATCCAGTCCCCACGATCATCTTCGATAAAGGCTCTGCCAGACGTGCAAAATGTCACGTTATAGTGTTGCTTCGATAACACCCTCACAAGAGTGGCAATCCCCTCGGAAAGCGTCCGAATGGATCTCGCGCCACCTTCTCATTGGCTCTTCATGATGGTCTGAGCTGGCGGGGAACCTGGAAGTCCTGCGCATCCGTGACAATGGCGAAAATGCGACTTTCAGGTGTTTGCATCTGCATCTGCATCAACCCCAGGCAAACAATCTCCATCGCGCTGAGTTTGTTGTGGTGGAAGGCGGCGCATGAGCTCGGCGACTCATCCATCAATCTCTCTTCAGTGGTTTCTGCATAGCTTGTCAAACCGCCAGATCCTCATCTCTCTAGCCCAATAGATTGTTCCATCAGCCTAGATCAGGTGTCAACCCATAATTGATTGGTGGCCATTTCCATCTGTCACACCATGGCTTCATTCTTTTCGTCGAATTACAGGCAATATAAGAAGGACACAGGTTGGTCATCCGCCTAATTGGACCTTCCTCAATTAACGTATCCAGAATACATCGCGGGATGGCTAGCAGCAACCGCCGAAAAAGTGGGCTACCAGCGCAGTAGCTGTCTAACTCCTCCACAGTCAACTCCGCAGCCAGCTAAACGACTCAAAGGCAAGGCGAGAAAAGAAGCCCAAAAGCTGCTGCTGCCTCCGCGAATACCCCCGCGGATACCTATCGCATTAATGTTGGGGAGTTTGTGCCCATGGCAGAAGCCATTGCGAAGAAAGTTCCCAAGGTCGAGGTCCCTGGAGCGCTCAGCAAACTGTTCGATCGTGCTATTCAGGCTCGAGAAAAAGCGGCAACTTGGTTCAAACAATCGCATAGCGACACGGTCCTAGACGAGAGCAATCAGACACATGCTCACTTCGTCGAAATTCTTAGAAATGCTGCTGGAATCCTTCAGCCGCTGGTAAAGGAGTCTGTGCCTCGTGCTCAAAGGAAGGAGCCAAGTCAAAAGTCCGACGTTGACTCCCTGCGAGAGATGAAGAATACTTTCTCCAGTCTCTCGGTGGACCCTGAAAACGTTGCTGAAGAGGCTGAGCCTGAGGATGAGCTTGGGGAGGAGCCTGCCCCCAGACCAGATGACTCGATGGAATCGCTACCTCCTGTGAACCCTGTTGAAATCCAGCAAGACGAGTCGGAAATCGAATCTGAGTTCTTCTTCGCTATCCAGTCGTTCATTACCAACATACATGAGCTCCGCGACATTGTTCAAGAAGTCTGGTTTTCATACAAGGACGGCAAAGTCGACTTGGTGAACGCTTCTGTCATCGCGAACACAGCTATCGACTTGGTGCGGCACGCTGAGTCTGAATTTGATCTCACGCTTGTACGCCCAAAGAAGTACCCTCAGAAGAATTTTCCCGTATGGGGTAAGTCATCAACTGAACGTCTCGTCATTTGGCAGCCATTAATACTTCGCAGTACTACCATCTCTTTTGTTGATCAGTCAGCATCCGGACATCATCGGCCCATCCGATTTTATGGACTTCCTGTTTCCCAGTGGCCTTATGATGCCTGGCTCTCATGCGTGCTCACAAGTTTACTGGTGTATGTGGCCAGTTTACGCCGGCCTAAAATACTACCTGGAGGCGATCAGGATTTCGAAGAAGCCTAAAACGGATATTCCAATCGTTTCGAAATCTGCTTTTAATCCAGTCGGTGGCGTCCACAAAGATACTTACCGCACGCTTGAACTGGCCCGGATGTTCCGACACACTACTTCGCGCCATGACGAGACAATAGCCATGGACGAAGTATCTCGCGGTATGGCGCATATGTTCAAACATCGCCAGATCCCTATTTGGACTACTGTAAGTACTTGTCAAGAAACAAAGCGCATACCATACTGATATACGGGTGGTTCGGAATACAAATATTGCTCGACATACAAGACATTCTAACTAAAGACCATCTGCACGATCCGTTCGATGAGCTGAATGTGCGCGTAGATCGGGAGGTGGCCATGAAAGAGGCGCTGGAGCGTAGCTGGATACAACCTTTCCCGTCTATTGGACATGCAGCGGATGTTCGAAAGGACATGGCCACGGACCTTACCTATACCAAAGCAGTCGCGGATGATCCATGCGAAACCCTGAAGCCCAATCCGATTCGATGTGGACTCTTGATGTACGACGCTTATTTGCAACTCAACACTGAAGGATATGCGGAAGCTAAGAGACGGCCGTTGGTTACAAGAACCCAGCATCCTGGCCCCGATCTTCTTGGAGCGAAGTTTTGGATGGGCAACTACTGACGCAGCTGTTGACGGTACGTACACACTTAACGTGAGCAGCTTGTCAGAAAGACACTAACGTTCGATACTCAAACACAGATAAAGTTAGACAACTCAACAACACCCTTCGATCGGAAACAGAGCTGGCTCGCCTAGCCAAAAAGTTCAACAGAGAGCGCGACATGGTATGGTGGACACTAGCAAGCCGTCGCTGGCGCCCATACATCGAAGAGCACTCCGCAAACGACAACGGCCCCACCGTCCTCCTCCGCGACCTTATTCTCTGGCTTGAAGGCGATGCCATGGACCTCTACTTCAGCTGGCAAGCTCTGCAAGACCAATGCGCAAAAGTTTGGCACCACCTCGTACGCTCCCTCTCCACAGACCCCTCCTGGGACAACAAGTGGAGCAAAGATCCACGGATGGGTATTTATATCCTGGAAGACGCCGCCGCCGACGAGGAGCACTGGGGCTGCATAGCAAAAGACGACAAAGCCTTTGCATCTCCTTTGCGAAAAGCACACGACGCGATCCAAAAAGTCATCTTCGAAGTCCAGGAAGAACCCCAAACCGCCCTCGGTATCTTCGACAGAGACCCAAGAACAAGTGCTGACATCGCAACTCGCGGCGGCGACGTCTGCCTCGCACGCCTTGCAAAAGAAAACAAAGACTTCACCCTCTCCGTCGGAAGCGGAGCCCACTACGATCCCCTCGACCTCTACAAAAACTGGCCCCCGGAAAAATTCATATACTCGCACGTCGCCCAATGCATTCTCAACTTCGGCCGTGAAACGAGGGAAGCAGACGAGAAGAAGGCGGCGGAAAGCACGCGTGTTTACGATCCTGAAGATGGTAAGTATTATCGGATTCAGGATCACACTTTGGTATCGGATGACGAGGACGATGATCCTTGTGCTGATTGTCCAAGGTGTAAGAGGAGGAAGTTTTTGGGGCATCGGTACCCGACTTATGCGGGGCATCATGGGGAGGTGGATCGGGAGTTGTGGGATGAGGATAGTGAGCGGTCCACGGATAGTGAGGATGAAGGGGCGTAGATGATGGTGGTGGTGTTGGTGGGATGGGTGATTGAAGGAGCAGGGGAATCTACAAGATCTGTTGAATGCACTACTGTGTATAATATAGTCGGAATAGCCATCTCGTCCGATGCTGATGTGGGGGCAGGTTTGTGTTGAAGCGGATGGGTGCCATGTCTAAAGGAGCCTAGCGGCCATACTAGTCGCCAAGCCTTTTCCCGAGGGCGTCTCTGATGCTGCGACCAACCTTGCCACCTTCTATCGCACGCATTTCTTCAGCATAACCGCAATCACGGGCATCGATGACCGTATATTGTGTCGCATTCGTCCCCCGCTACGATATCCGATGCACGCATCCCTCGAAACTAATGTGACTTTGCTGTCGCAGTCGCGTGCGACGACGCGTCTTGACGCGACAAACCATCTCCACGACATGGATTATTGACATCGCGTCACGTATGCTAGGACAGCGTCTACAGAACTTATTCGCGAACCGGCGCGCTGCTTCACAGGCATCGTCTGTTCGGTCTGCCTACTAACCATTCTGACAAAGTTGACGTCAGCGGGCGTTTCGCATTCGCAGTCCTCGGACTGCGTTTGTGGGTTCAGTAGCCGGGGCTCTCCCTCCATCTCCAGATGAATGGCTGCTGAACAAAGGCAACGCCCGAGAGTAATGCTGATGCGTCCCGATGGGTTTGATCTGCTCTGCGGTGACAGCTCGTCGGTGATGTTGAGGCAATGAGCCTATCTGGCGGCTTTACCCTGCTGGTGCATCCTCTTTGTTCCTGGTCTTCGGAGCAGTTGAGCATCGATGGGCGCACGGCATAGGTGGGATTGACGTTTCGTTTCAGCTCATACATTTCCTTCTTTCTTCTTCGGCAACGTGCCGTGGTTTCCGGTTCTGCATGTCTTCATTTGGTTGCCTAATATGTGGTTGCTACACCACAGTCATGCGTAATACCAGATTCGATCCTAAAATTGTTAGTTCTCAGCCATGATTGGTTTCCGCGCACCTTCACGTCATCTGCCGATCCATGCCCGCATCGCACGGCTAGGCAGCCATCTTCAGTAAATCAACATGACATCGCGCAACTTCATCCGTCGACTTTCATCATCAAAATGCAATGCTATACGCGCGAAAGCTTCATGGAGGAGTACACCCTCCCCGTCAAACCGGCGCAAGATTTTGAACGTGCTGGCATCCCCGCTCAATATGCCTCTGGTCACCCAAAGAACTGGTCGCAAACGCGCGATGTTATCGACTTCAGCGCCGATCTGCCACAACCATCCGAGACTACATACCGAAGTTACGATACTGCTGTGAGCTCTGACAAGAAGTTGCTGGCCATCAGCAGTAGCGCGGGGCGTATCTTGGTATACAACATTCAGACCCGACAGCTGTGCGAGGTCCTCGAAGGCGGTGGGTCGGTGGCGTTTCGGCCTTCAGTTGCCAATGGGGAAAGCCATTCAGAGATCGAGCAAACCTCCGGTGTAGGGACTTCGAGACCTGGCTACACCCTGGTGAGCTCCGTCGCCGATGAGACTCAGCGTAGCGAACGTACAACCGGCCAGCTTATCCTTTGGGACCTGGACCAGAACGGACGCACACTGGACAAAGAAGAGCCGATCGATCCCTCCATTTGGGCTACGAAAGCTATCGACGCAATCGCCCCCGAACTTGCAGCAAACCACGAATGGACCAGGGAGTTCATCGATGCGTCCTCGCTCCATACAGAGTTCTTGAAAGCGCTCAGTCATGTAGCCGCCGACCATAGCAGGCGCCACAATACCATCATTGACAACGCGGAACTGGGCAACTTTGGGTCTAAATACTTCAGCAAGGACGGCAGACTGATGCTGTACCATTCGAATGCCCGAACAACCCAACACGGCATGCGCGCAGCAGAAGATTTGCCGCTTGTCGTTATCTATGACGTGGAAGCAGGTAAAGAGATGCACCGCCTTACTGGACACACGGATGCCATCATGTGGTCGGCTATGAGCCCGAACATGGAGTGTGTTGCTACGGTGTCTTGGGATGGCTCGCTACGCATGTATTCCGTCTCGACTGGGGCTCTTATTTGGGCTACAGACAAATCAGGTGGGCAGAGTTGGGCCGGCGCATTCTCGTAAGCACTACTCCGGTACATACTACACGTAAGACACATGTTAACTTTGCTTACCAACATATAGGCCAGACTCAAAGCTCATCGTCTGGAGCACTAACAGTGGCTCAGTGGTGCAGGCTCACGATGTCTCAGACGGTCGAAAGGTAGCAGTCATGCCAGAGACATTTTCTCGCTGGTGCCGATACTTTGACTGGCATCCAACGCGGTCAGAGATTGCGCTTTGCGCTGGTAAAGAAGCATACGTCTGGAACCCCTTGGATGGCCCCAATGGCAAGGTACTTCAGCATTTCAAGATCGAGGGCGAAGAACGACTGAGTATGGCTGAGATCGACGCTGTTCTATGGATGAACGAAGGTCGATTACTGGGTATCGAGTCGAGCGAAGGGTCGAACCTGATCTACGACACGGAAAGCAATGCGAAAGAGCTGTTCTATCGACCTGCTGGCACGGTGGCTGGCTATGTCACGGGCAGTCTATGCGGCATGTTTCGAGATAAGGAAGAACAGGATGTATACCTCAGTGTCGACGGCGATGGAACCGCGCGGTTCTGGCGAACAAGTGTCCCAGCTCTCCCATCGTGGTGGGACAAAGACCCGATCCCAGTTGTTACAAAGAAAGCATTCCCTGAGACGGGAAAGTATGTCAAAATCACGAAGGCATCGGGCAAAGCAGCTTTACCGCACGAAGCCGCTAAAGAGAGTTAGAGTGAAAACGGTGCGGCATTGTCGACCGCTGAGTAGAGTCCTACGCCAGTGGACAAACGATACCTCGGCTTTGAGATCGTCTTGGCTGGCATGGAGGATTGGTATTATGTTCAGTGTTGCGATAGTGTTTTGATCGCTGGTCATGGTAATTCACCCCACCCTTCCCGCTCTTTACTTTTTTCGCCAGTCTGACTGCATCACCCAATATTTCACACGTACCAATGACAACCAAGAACAAATTGACAGTTCACGATATCCAACACCTTCTGCAGGGCTGCAGCACTGGGCATACCCGGGATGGGGGAACCGGTAGCGAGTCTTGGTCACAATTAATGTCAGTGGCTGTGGATACAACGGATATCGGCGCCGGCACGGTATACCCTTCCTTGTCACCCGTGATCACACAATCTTGCGAGCAGCTGACACACTGCTTTCGGCACATCGGCGCATACGCCACCATACACTTTCCGTTATCTTCGCTGCTGTCCCACACTAATCGGTTGCTCGGATTGCGCAATCCGGATCGTGTGCGCATATTGACGATGCGAAGATCGTTGAGTTTTGGACATGTTGGGACTCGCAGTATTGCCTCACGGCTGGCTAAAGGCGTTGCGGTCCGGGCAACCGTCTCCGCGCTTACGTTGTACCCTTTCAGGCTGAACCCCACACCGCCATTCGCTTAGCCCCACGCGGTGCGGCTTATTGTGCTGTGTACCTTATATGAACCATGGAGGAACAGATGACTGACGTGCGAAAATCCCTCGTCGTCCTTTTTACGATTTGCACGCTGGTCGGACTTTCGTTTTCAAGGTCATCCTAAGCTTGCGCTCTTGCTGCTTCTTCTCATAGGAGTATCGACGACCTTCGTTTGCCTTGCTAGCAATCTTGTCCACGAGCATCGAGTTTGACACTCCCGCTGTAGACTAAATCAGCAGAAACGCTAAGACTTTGTGCCTGTCACGCGTTTTGATTCAGCATTGGTCCCGCGTTCCAATTGACTTGTGCAGTGTCACTAAACACAGTAAGCTACGCCTCCTAAAGCCATGTCGGCCGTCACGTCCCTGTATAACCAACCATCCCGTCGTGGTATAAAAGTTTCCCGCGGAGATCACAGGTACTATCCTTGTTCACATTCCCACCATGATACAACCTACCCAAAATGGCGAGCGCTATGAGCTCACAAGCCCCACGGAGATGCCCAAAGCGGGTGCATTCCTTTGGAACCAACGTATGATGATTCAGGTCACATGTCGTGGTTTTGCAACTGCACAATACATGCAACCCGAGCCCGCGAAATATGCCTACGCGCCCAACCTCGAAGCGAAGACCTTTATGCAACCGGAGCAAAACTACTATGCTCACCACCCAGGCCGGTTCGTATACATCAAGGATGAGGAAAACGGCGAGATATTCTCGGCGCCGTATGAGCCGGTAAGGGCAAAGTTGGATCGCTTCACCTTCGATGTAGGCAAAAGCGACATCAAGTGGCTCGTGGAGAAATCTGGCATTCGTGTCGAGATGACCTTCTTACTACCCACCGACGATGTGGCTGAACTCTGGAGCATCAAGGTGACCAACATCTCAGGTCGCAAGCGCAACTTGAGTATCTATCCTTACTTCCCACTGGGCTACATGTCATGGATGAACCAAGAGGCGGAGTGGAATACGAATGTCGGGGGCGTGGTTGGGAGCTGTAAGACTCCGTATCAAAAAGCGGAGGATTACCCGAAGACGAAGTATCTGAAGGACAAGACCTACTTCCTCTGCGAAACTACACCAGTATCATGGGAAGCGAAGCAAGAAGCTTTCGAAGGCGAAGGAGGCCTGCAAGCACCATCGGCACTGAAGGAGTCACAGCTTTCGAATAGCGACGCCCGTTACGAAACCCCGACCGCAGTTGTTCAATATTGGGCCGATCTAGGCGAGAACGAGAGCAAAGAGTACAGATTCCTTTTCGGTCCTGCATACGACGAAGCCGAGATTCTCGACATGCGCAAGAAATACCTAAACAAGATGGCGTTCGCGAAAGCCGCCAAAGACTACGAAGACTACATCCAGCGTGGCAGCGGTTGCGTGCGTCTCGAGACTCCAGACAAAGATCTCGATAACCTGGTCAACAACTGGCTACCTCGACAATTGTACTACCATGGCGACGTCAACAGACTCACGACCGATCCGCAAACGCGAAACTACCTTCAAGACAACATGGGCATGAGCTTCATCAAGCCCGAAGTAGCGCGCAAAGCCATCACGACAGCGGTCGGTCAGCAGGAGAAGAACGGCTCCATGCCAGATGGTATCCTTCTAGCCAAGGGCGCGGTGCTCAAGTACATCAACCAAATCCCTCACACCGACCACTGCGTCTGGCTCCCCATCGCCCTGGAGATCTACCTGAGCGAGACCGGCGACTATGCGCTGCTAGACGAGAAAGTCACCAGCATGTACGGCGACACATTCACAGTCTTCGAGCGCTTCAGCCGCGCCATGGACTGGCTGCTCTCCTCAAACGCGCGAGACGACCGCGGACTCTCCTACATCGCGCAGGGCGACTGGTGCGACCCGATGAACATGGTCGGTCCCAAAGGCGTCGGTGTTTCAGGCTGGCTCACCGTCGCAACCGCCTACGCCGTGAATCTATGGGCGCAAATCTGCGAAGACGCCGACAAACTTGACATCGCGAAAAAGTACCGCGCCGGCGCTGAACAAGTCAACGAATCAGCTAACGAGCACCTCTGGGACGGTGACTGGTTTGCCCGCGGTATCACAGACGACAACGTAACATTCGGCATCAAAGACGACAAAGAAGGTCGTATCTGGCTGAACCCGCAAGCATGGTCCATCCTCGGCGGCGCAGCTTCCTCAGCGCAAATCTCCAAAATCCTCCCTCAGGTTGATGAGCAACTCACAACGCCCTACGGCGTCGTCATGTTCGGCCCGCCCTTCACCGCCATGCGCGAAGACGTCGGTCGCGTAACGCAGAAATATCCCGGCCAAGGCGAGAACGGCTCCGTGTACAACCACGCCGCTGCCTTTTACGCATGGGCCCTTTACGGCATCGATGAAGTTGACCGCGCGTACGCTACGCTCCGCGCTATGATCCCAGGGCCAGATGAAGAGGATCTGATTCGCCGGGGCCAACTCCCCATTTTCATTCCTAATTACTACCGTGGTGGGTATGGGATCAAGCATCTGGATCGCACGGCTGGTCGCTCGAGTCAGTTGTTCAATACTGGGACTGTGAGTTGGGTGTATAGGTGTTTCATTGAAGGGCTGTGTGGGTTGAGAGGTGTAAGGGAGGGTCTGAAGATTGCGCCGAAGATGCCGAGTGATTGGGAGGAGATGAAGGTGAGGAGGGAGTTTAGGGGTGCGGTGTTTGATGTGCAGATTAGGAGGGGGGATGTTAAGGATGTCAAGGTTGTGGTTGATGGGGAGGAGGTCGAGGGATGCGTTGTCAAGAATGTTACGGCTGGGAAGGCATATGAGGTGCTTGTAGAGGTACCGAGGGCGAAGAAGAATGCTGTCAATGGGACGAAGTCGAATGGGATTAGACCGAATGGAGGACTGACGAATGGGTCGGCGACGAACGGGAATGGTACTAATGGGACGAAGTAGAGGTAGCATAGCACATGCGAGAATTTGAAGGGTTTGTTCTTTTAAACTACTTTTATCGCGTATTTGTTAATGAATTTTCCCCAAAGCTACACATGATGCCATATTTCCATCATGACGTAGAAGCATCATCTACCGCCCTAACGCGAAAAGAACATTCCCACACTATTCTTCCACGCACTCTCCGCAACCTCCTCAACGCCAGCGCCCTTAATCCCCGCAACAACCAACGCCACCTTCTCCACATTGCAACTCTCATTCCTCTCCTTCACCATATCGCCCATACTGAACTTATCCTTCTTCTTACTCCCCCAAGACCACTTCGTTGCATTCTTCAAATACGCCTTTGCTACTTCACTAGACACTTGGATATCGCCCCAAGGGGCATCCGTTTCAATCTGGAGCTTATCCATCGGCACATGTCTAATCATATCCAAGCTATCGCGGTCTCGGAAAGCGAAGTTGTTGACACTAACATGTAGGCCCATGCCGGTCAGAGTCTGCATCTGCGCTGTGGTACCAACGAAAGAGTGCACTAGACCGGATCGTAAAGGCAGCCGGTCCATGTAGGATCCGAGTATAGCAACGAAATCTTCGAACGCAGCGCGACAATGCAGAAAGAGGGGTAGTTTCCATCCTGCGCTTACTATCATATCGAGCTGGCGCTTGAACACGCGTATCTGAACGTCTTTTGGGGCTTCGGCCAGTTTGTCGTAGTCGAGGCCGAGCTCTCCGAAAGCGGCTAGGAGGTGGGGCTCTTCAGTCATGGTCGTCGTGATGCTGTCAGACAGGCTCTTGTAATATTCTTCTCCGCCCTCATCAGCTTCGACGGCATGGTATGGATGTACACCGATTGTGACTCTGCATTGCTCCGGTCGTTTCCGCGCTATGCCGAGATTGAAAGACGCGTCGGATGCGTACATGCCTGTCAGCATGACTTTCTCTACCCCGGCGGCTAATGCGCGGTCGAGCACGGCATCGAAGTCTGGCTCATGGTATTGCTTGCCCCGGTAGATGCCGGCGAACTCTTTGGCAGTTGCGGTTACGGCGACCTGGATACATCGACGTGTTGGTTCAGCCAAGTCGCGTCAACACGGGAATGGGTGGGCGCGTACGTCGGCGTATTGGAGCTTTCTGGATGGAGCCGAGGGAACGTCACTGGGAAACCCTTCTAGTAGCGTTGGTATTGGCATTGTGTGTCAGGATGAAGCAATGTGATGTCTGTAGCGGCGAGGCGATGCGGGTTCGCGAGGTGCGTCACCTTCGGAAGCGAGACTTCCGATCTCGAAATGTGGAAGTGGAGCGATTGTCTTGGCTCTAGATCACCGGCTTACTGAGACAACAGACATCACACTCGAAGCAATTTTCATCAATCTGACGCTTTTCGCAGAGTTGTGATTACCGCAGTTCACACTTCTGATCTTCCGCTCGTCTTCAATGGCCAACGGACGTGGCAACCCTTGCAACAGCCCAAAAGGTGTCCCCGGGCTGAGGGTTAACAGACTGGGCTTTCCTGTAGTCAGCTTCACTCAAAGTGACGAGCGATAGAATTGCGCAGACCATATTCATATTGAAATCGATGTTGACCCTGCGACACTTCATGTATTCCTCGTTTGCGGGGTACATCAGCTCGCGATTGCCCCTCTACCGCACCGCAGACATGCGCGTCTCCTTACACATCTAATCGATCAATTGACTTCCCCTTTCGTCAACCCCGCACCCCAAAGCTTTTCCCCCGTCAGTTCAGTCTCGGGAAATACATACGAAAACCGCACCAGAGCGGTACTGCACGCTACAGCGCCTGATATACTCAACACTCCAGTCGCTATTAACCGCATATCATCACAGGATCATCATACCTGACGCAGCCGCGCAAAAGCTCTGTATCATGCCTGTGGACACTACTATCGATGCGTGGGCATGTACTAACGAGACGTCGACTGACTCCCTGACACTACCGCAGGTTAGTGGACACTACAAGGTAGATAAGCAAGTTATAGAAGGTAATACTGGCATAACGAGTTTTCGTATCATGCTCACTTTGTATAAGCCTTTCCCATCGCCGGAACTGAGGTCATTAACGCCTTCAACTACTACAAATCACTATGGGGCAAAACTGCCAAGATCGTTGTGCGACTGCCTACGGGCGAGACCGACAATTACTTCCTAAAGGCATGGCTCCTTGCAAAGGAATTCGCATACAGTTGTTGCTAATGACTGCCAGATCGTATCTCTGGGATCAGTGGGGAAGCAAATGTGCGAAGGTGAATACGAATCGCTCAAAGCCATCTACGCGGTCTCGCCTTCGTTTGTCCCACGGCCTTACGCCTGGGGAAAAGTTGAAGAGAACGGGGCAACGTCCCACTTCTTACTCGCGGCATTTCGAGACTTAGAAAAGCAGGTATGGGTATTGCGGTTCTCATGGAAGTTCGACTACTGATGTGAACAGCCTGCAGATCCGGTCAGATTGGCTAACGAACTAGCGGATATGCATCTACGATCTGTATCTCCAACTGGCAAATTCGGCTTCCATCTCTCGACGTGCCATGGGCGAATAACTCAGGCTGTCGATACATGGGAAGACTCCTGGTGTGTGCTATTCAGTCAGCACCTAGGTCATGTCATGGATTTGGCCAAGCCCATCCTCAAGTGGCCAGCTTTCGATGCAATATGCGATCTTACGCTTCGAAAGGTGGTGCCACGTCTTTTGTTACCTCTCCAAAAAGAAGGCCGGATCCTGAAGCCGTGCCTGATCCACGGCGATTGCTGGGATGGTAACACGGCGATCGACGCCAAGACTGGCAAGGCTTTCGTTTTCGATGTGGCTTCCTTCTACGGGCACAACGAGTACGACATTGGCAACTGGAGAGCACCGCGCCATCGCGTGAGTGGGAAGGCGTATGTCGACAACTACAAAAGCCACTTTCCAGTGTCCGAGCCTGTTGAAGATTGGGACGCGCGGAATCGTCTTTATTCGTTGACCTTCAACATCGGTAATGCGATGTATGTCCCCGAGTCACAGCAGCGCCAAGTCGTATTCGATGATATGAGTACCCTATGTCAGCTCTTCTGCCCGGACGATCTGCAAGCCACGATGGACAAACTCTCGGAACGCAATCCGGTCGGCGAGGAGCTGCAGGATCATTAAAGCACGACAGTTGACAAAAACAGCGATGATGTGAAGGCCGGTGCGTAGAAAGAGAATGAGGCTTCGGGAGGCTGCTGCTTTGACGAAGATCTTGCCGTGCACCCGCAAACTCGTTGATGCTGTTTCCTGTGCCGGGAGTTATTGATTGTGGGCGAGTTAGTGGCATCGAAATAAGTGTAAGCGTATGATAATGGCAAGCTCTTGCATCTGATGAGAACCTTGGAATGGATGATGGATGATGGCTGATGGCTGACAGTCCACGGGCTGCGACAAAGCGTCGGCAACACTGTGCTCGGCGGGGCTACTAGGTAGCCTTCGATGCTGACTAAGCAGACCCCTTTACTTCGTCGCCCGCCTTGTGATGTTAAGTCCTCCCACCAATAACAACCATTTGCACGAATTATATAATCGCATGAGTGCTGATACGAGCGTTGCATGGTTTCCGTGTAGTAAAGTAACCATGCCTCGCCATGTCTGTAGATGCGCACAAAAGCGATCGCATCTAACTCATTGCGCAACATTGATACCATACGCGGCATACGGAAAGTCATCGAGACTAACCCTCAGCTCCGCTATACCATCATCCGACATAAGTCGACCGTCTTTGGCAGTGACAGGGCTTCTTGCATCTCCTTCCACTGGCGATCCATACTTAGGCACGGTACCATCTTCCTCCGTCCTCCCCATAAGAACATCCATCTCCCGCCCTTTACAAACCTCCGCAAGCCCAGGATGAGGCACCCAGACAACACGCATACCCGCCCTTCTCGCTGCCTCCACACCTGCTGTTGAGTCTTCAAACACTAAGCACTCCGCAGGCTCCAGAGCACGCTCACCCCGTGCTGTCTCAGCGGCGTTCAACCTCTTCAAAGCGAGAAGAAAGATATCAGGCTCTGGCTTCTTCTTGCTATCAGACATCTCCGGATCATCGCCGAAGACGTGGAAGGCTGGATCATCAAACGCCGCATTGATAGCGGGTATATGCGAAGTCTTTAGTGCGAACTTTTGCTGACCAGCTGAACTAGCTAGCGAAAGCAGCACAGGCGATGATGTCTTTGCTTTCAGGATTGAAAGAAGAGTTTCAACACCTGGAAGCACCTTACTGTTCTCGAAGAGATGTGTAAACCCTTTTTCTTTCGCAGACCATTCAGCTGGCGTGAGGGGTACTTGTGCCCAGTCTAGTAAACGCTTGGTACCCTGTACTAAGCATCAGCATGACGGACTGGACAAAACGATAGGGCTGAGCAACACAGACCTTTGTGCCTCTGCTTTGCTGTGTCGCCTTGATTGCCCATGGGTACTCTGGTCTTCCATACTCGCGCAGTATGTTGTTGTAGATATCTGTGTAGATGTCTTCTGAGTTGATGAGCGTGCCGTCTACATCGAAGATGCAGGCGCGTACAGGCGGCAGCGAAGCCATGGGATCTACAGCTGATTGAGCGCGATCTGGGCTTTCTCTCTTGGCTTCAGTCGTGCAAGATGATCTGCTCCAAGGCTGGGCAGCTGAAGGACCATGGACTGCGGACCTAAGCATTTACCCCGCGGTCGCTAACCGCATCGGGACTAGTCGCCACGCAGCATGGGAAGTGGCTACGCTTGACGGCATCGTTCAAGATGCGCCTTCTGCCTCTGAGACTGCTAGCAAGTGGCTTGCAACTTAGACGACATCTCCGACTGGGGATCAATTCATGGCAGCTGACTACCACGCCTAGTCGTAGTACTTCCAATCTAGTAGGCTCTTACACGGGCCGCTCTAGTCTATCTTTCGAATCTGCCCCTCATCTCTTGCACAGCCTTCAGCTAGAGGTACATCGTCACGCCAATGCGCTACAACATATTCGGCTGCAGTAACCGGATATCAAGATCGGCGAGGAGAACTCGTTTCGTGGCGGAGGATGAAGCTCGCGAATCCTCTGCCGTCGGCTTGCCAGCGAAGTCCACATGAGGTGAGCATCCAATACACTACGATGGCGCCGCAGAAGTCAGCCAATATCTCGTTACCACGACGATGCCAATAGCGAGCGATAGCAAAGCCAGCTCGCACGAACTTGCAGTTGCTTCAGCTGTCGATACACCAGTCCACCAGTCCTGTTTACACCCTCAGAATCGCAAGTTTCCTAATCCAGATCTACAGACTTTGATATATGCCAAGGGTACAGCCGCAAATGTATCGATTCTCTGCAGTCAGCGACACTTCCCCAATGAGGACTATCGGACATGCTCGCACTGCATCCATCTACTACTGCGTCCATGTCAGCCCAAAGGGACATAAGTATCTGAGTCTGTAAGCTATTCTGCTTTCGAGTTGCTTCGGCCCTACCACCAACTATCGCTTCATCCCGCTCCGATTACATGTCTGCAGATACGAAATGCCAATACATCAAAGTGGACATGTTGCATACATCCCACCTCCTCTTCGCAGCTTAGGTCGCGATAGAAGCAACACCCCACTCATGCCAACACCGCCTTATAAGTGACATACAAGCGCGCATGACTCAGCTCCTGCCCATCACATGCCACGCATCCCACCACAAGGCTGACCATTAGGTACATGGTGGCTTGCAGGGCGACAGGAAGCAGCAAGCGCACACTTCACATGTTGTCGAAATCTCCACTTCACACGTTCTCCACATAACACTTGGGCCAGACTACCGTCGAACCCACACCACACCGGTGTAGATACTCGAACTAACAAGGTGAGAACATGGCTAGGCTCGGGCGACGGCAGCATATCTTGTTCGCAGGATTTTCTTGGGTTCCCCACACGGCCCGGGGTCGATCAGCCATGAGCGCCACTTTTGGTGTTGCTTCATCTTACGAACGGGAAGCTTGGGGGCGGATATCGTGTGATTGAGCCTTGGCAGTTCTTGTGGCATTGCGCAGACTAGAGAAGTACCGTAGCCTGATGAGCAATACTATCGCATTGGCTGCGAACACGTTCTCCCAGGGTACAAGACCACGTATAACAATGTCGACGATGTAACAAAGCGATTGTGCGAGGTTGCTGCAGCTAGACAAGAACACGATACAGATACGGTGTTGTAGGTAGGCGCGGCATAAGAGCGGCAAAGCAGCTTGGTGTCATGTACGGAGCACTATTCTTAGCGCGCACTCATTCCCGGGCTCGTATCGCACATCGCTGCATCGTGAGGCTAGAATCGGGGGGTGTGTAGGGCTACGGACCTCTCTCCGTATCGTCCCGCTGGTTTAGGCGCGCCATGTGCTCTCGCCCAGCGACACGGTCGGCCAACGACGGGCTATGTGCAACGGGCGACATGGCTGTTAGACCCTCTTTCCTCGTTTTCTCGCACAGACTAGTTCGCAAGGCCGCCAACAGCATGGCGCCCGATTTAAACGAAATCAATAGGAGAATTGCTGAGGAAATAGATTAACGCTGCGTGTGTAATGCGTGTGCTGATTGGGTCGTGATAAGAGCCTTTACTTATCCGGTAATACCAAGCAGCGGGACACCTGCCTAAGCGAGTACTAACTTGATAGCGGTCCGTATGTTGGACCTGTTTTTTTCTTGCCTGTCAGCCGCAATGTCTACATGTCGACTATTGAAATGTTGCAGCTCGCGTGCTGACACGTGCAGACAAAGAGGCGCCGTACGCATGCAGCCCCGGCTGTCGCCAGTGTACCTACCGGACTTGGAAGACAATGCGGCTGCGATGTGGGCGTCGGTGTGATCAGGCGCGGTTAGGGCATGGGCTGGGAGGCGGTCGAGGTGTTAGGAATACTAGACGCTTATATACATGGTCTTGCCTGGGATGCAATACGACACCCAGGGTGTTGTTAAACAGCCGGTGCTCCTTCTTGCACTCGGAACTTTTGTCGATTCAATATACTTTTGTCGCTCGTTTGACACTTTCCCATTGCGCCACACATGGCGCAACTTTATGCCCTGCGGCGGCTGCCATTTAGCCTGCATCTCCTGGTACTGTCCCTGGTTTGCTCCGCTAGCGCGCAGAGTTCAGCGGCGCCCGAACTCCCTAGCAATACCACAACTCCGGAACCGAAGAGAGGATGGTATTCGGAAGGATGTTACACGGACAATGTCGGTGGCCGGTCGCTCTCCGTGGGAATGGGAGTGACTGGTGGCATGACCAACGACAAGTGCAAGGCTGCATGCCGAGCTGGAGGTTTCGTCCTGGCTGGTACTGAGTATGCCGGCGAGTGTTTCTGTGACAACCAGATTCGAGCCAATGGCGGTCCTGCACCTGACGGCGAGAAGGGATGCAACATGGCATGCAATGGCAACCAGACAGAGATGTGCGGCGGTCCCGATCGCTTGACATTTTTCCGTTTCTACACGGGTGGTGAATCGTTCACCTCGGCCACTGCTACGTCTACCGCTTCTGCAACAGCATCTGCTACTGGAGCATCCAGCGCAGCGCCCATTGCTACTGGGCTCCCAGAAGGCTTCGAGTACAAAGGCTGCTATGTCGATGGACCCGGATTCCGCATCGTCAACTACCAACAACCCGATGATCAGAAGATGACCGTTGCGTCATGCACCAGTATATGCGCGAAAGCTGGCTATGAGATTGCAGCCATGGAGTACAGCTACCAATGCTTTTGTGACAATGCCGTTAGTATATCCCAAATTTCCAATGTCTTCTAGTACTAACCCATGTAGGTGCGAATGGGCGGCAAGCCTGCTTCTTCCGAGTCGGAGTGCAACACAAAGTGTGCTGGTAACCAAGCCGAGACGTGTGGTGGCCCCAACCGAATGAGCATCTACTCAAGCCAAGATCCATTGAAGGTCGTCAAAGTCCCAACACCCACCCAGAACGTGAGCGACTGGCAATACCAAGGATGCATTACCGACATCGGCAACCAAGTCTTCCCGCACAAGCTGTTGAACCAGACTGGTAACTCACCGGAATGGTGTCTGAGTCGATGCCAAGCCTTCGGTTACATGGCCGCCGGAATGGAGTACGGCGAAGAGTGCTACTGCGGTGACCTAGATGGTATTGAGAAGATTGGCTCAAAACCCGCTCCAGAGTCTGAATGCAGCATTGCTTGCCCAGGAGACCCTGAGGCGCTCTGTGGCGCAGGTAACCGACTCAGCTGGTACAAGTGGGAAGGCGACCCATTGTACGTCTGGGAGTACCCTAAAGGCACCGCAGCAGGACGCTACGAGTTCCTGGTCGGCGGTCCTATCATTCCTCTGATCGCGCAGCCTGGTGTCAACGGCAAGGTCTCCTTCCTCGAGAAGCACGGAACAGGCGAGCCGAACACGACTGGTGCATATGAGTTCGACCCTTCGATTGGTGGTGACATCTTCCACGCCTTCCGTGAGCTGACCGGCATCAAGACGGATATCTTCTGTGCTGCAGGTCTGACTCTACCGGATCGCGCCGGCCGACAGATCAACATTGGTGGATGGTCGACAGACTCCCTGTTCGGCGTCCGCATCTACTGGCCAGACGGTTCGGCCGGTGTCAACGGTACCAACAACTGGCAGGAGGATGTCAACACGGTTAAGCTCCAAAGAGGTCGCTGGTACCCAACAGGAATGGTCATGGCTAACGGATCTATGCTCATCGTCGGCGGACAAGATGGCTCGAACGGCCCGCCAGTGCCTAACATGGAGATCTTGCCCACGGTCGGACCTGTGTATGAAGCACAGTACCTGAGAGATACCGACCCATACAATCTGTACCCATTTTTGGTCGTGCTACCATCCGGTGGTATCTTCATCCAGTACTACAACGAAGCACGCATCCTCGATGAACGCAGCCTAGACACAGTCAAGATCCTGCCAAAGGTGCCAGCTGCCGTCAACGATCCCACAGGAGGCCGCACGTACCCCTTTGAGGGTACCCAAGTCCTTCTTCCGCAGTACTACCCTTACAGTGCGCCATTGGAGGTCCTCATTTGCGGTGGAGCATCAGCTCAGCCAAACGTGGGACTTGACAACTGCGTCAGCATCGAACCAGATACTGCCAATGCCCAATGGAGTCTCGAGCGGATGCCTTCTCGACGTGTCATCTCCTGTATGGCAACACTACCAGATGGTACCTATCTGATCTTGAACGGAGCCGAGATTGGACAAGCAGGCTTTGGTCTTGCAGACCAGGCGAACTTAAATGCTGTCTTGTACGATTCCAGGAAGCCACGAGGCAAGCGAATGAGCGTCATGGCCAACACTACTATCGCACGTATGTACCACTCCGAGGCTGTCATCATGGATGACGGAAGAGTACTGGTCTCGGGCTCCGACCCGCAAGATCAGGGCAAGCATCCTCAGGAGCACCGTCTGGAGGTCTTCCTTCCGCCTTATCTGCTCTCCGGCGCAGCGCAGCCTACGTTCGACTTGCCACAAGTCGATTGGATCTGGGAGGCAGACTACTCGTTCACTGTGACTTCATCCTCCGGTGGCGCGATCAAGGTCTCGCTGCTTGGTTCCGAGTCCAGTACCCATGGAAGTTCGATGGGCGCACGCATCTTGTTCCCAAGCGTGTCATGCTCAGGTCGATCATGCACCGTCAAGGCGCCGAAGGGGCCATACATCGCTCCTGTAGGCTGGTACAGGATGTTCGTTCTGGATGGGCCTACGCCCTCGCATGCGAAGTGGGTTCGTATTGGTGGCGACCCGGCTTCACTGGGTAACTGGCCCGATGAGGCTGCCTTCCAACCATTGCCAGGTGTTGGACCTGTCGGAGGGGTCTCGACCTTGAGCGCGAACGCGACTAAGCCAAGATCCATTTCAACAGCGCCTCGCAGCTTCAAGGGCTGAGCAGAAGTTGAACGATGTGTTGAGGAATCTAATGTCTATTTATTAATTTGTCAACTCGAGCAACAATACTCACGCACTGCGACCCAGTACATATTGGCATGACGGCCGTGGTAGAATTCTTTAACGTCTAATGTACACGTGTTGTTAAATCTGCATGTGAACAACATTGAGGTTTAGCGGTGATACTGTGTTGACATGTTCAGTGTGGATGAGACTCACTGCTTGATCCAATCTCTTCGGTGCAACGCCCCTCGAACCCCTTCCCTCTTGCCTTCATCCAACCATCGGCTGCTGAACGGCTTGCTCGTGATCGTATTCTGCGCGCTTCATCCAACCCCATCATTCCATCTCTTCATCGTCATCTTCACTACTCGGGAAGCTCCACTCACTCGACTGATAATAGTCATAGTCCTCGTCAGACTCTGCTATGCTCATCGCCTTTGTACCGCATGTTCGAGCGCTGAACGCAGAGTAAGCAGATCTCTTGGGCGATGGTGATCTTGACCGACGGCGTTTGACGGTCTGGACATAGCTTACACTACTGAGATTGACGCGCGGTGTGTCGGGAACCGGAAATGGTGAGCGGGGACGCTTTGTGGTCGTTTTGGGTACGAGGGCTTGGGGCTGTACGTCATCATCGCCTGTAAGATCGATCACCATGCGATCGTCCATCGGCTCAGGGTCGTCCTGGGAAGTCGCTGGTGGAAGGTGCTTTGGACCCTGATATCTTCGGTGAATGCGATCGCGGATCTCTTCCTCCATATCTCGCGCTTTGGCACGCTTAGGAGGGTGCTCTGGCATGTCCGCTGTCATTAGAGCCCACCGTTCGAGATGGCTGGCGGATCCGGAAACGCCATCCGGAGCTATCTGGTCGTCTTCCTTCTGTTTCTCATCCAGCCACTTGCTCACTTTGGGCGCTCTGTAGTCGCGGTTCTGTTGCCGAGGGCGCCAGCTGTTTTGATAATGTTGCGACATTGCAAATGCCGGGTTGGTGACGTGAAGACGCATGGGCAGGCGCAACCCCAAACTCGAACTAGACTAGTCGCGATCTAATCGGATAGCGAGGGATGAATTGAATCCAGCTGTGGGTGGAGTAAGTTGCGGAGTGGCAGGCAGACTCCGCGCAGACCGACCCGGATGCCGAAGAAGACGCGTCTCGGATGTCGTGTCGAGAATCCGCGATGGAGCGCGACCTGTACGGGCTCAGAAGGGGAAGCTGCAACCCACGCTACGGCGATCTATTTTCCTAGAACCTGGTGGTTTGATGCAATAGCGACAATGCGAAGTCGATTAGCGACGGGAAATGCCTAACGCTCTTGCAGCGGTTGAAGGGCCGCCGTTGATCGGCGCCCCTTGCGGGTGGAGACGCGAGCGCGACATCTTGGCGCTGGTTCGACGGCAATCTGCTGTCTTCCAACTACAAACCTCGCCATACTGATCATTGTGTCTCTAAAAACACCATCTTCAACATAGAAGCCATCGTCACATGCTGGATTCGGCTCGATGCGACATGCAGCAGCCACTGACGACGTCGGCTAATCGCAGCCGGCCACCAACACGGGGATTACGCCCGGCAGCCCGTCCTGCACCACCCACCGCTCAAGGCTCAAGTCCGATGCTACAGTCGTATCTGGCCGCAGCCGATTGCAGCGGAATTCGATCACATGTTTGCGCGTGCAATCAACTAAACACTCAAAATCCCCAGAACACTCTCGCGGATGTTGGTCTTCGGAGGCATGTATGGATAGCGCGGCCATTATACGCTCGGGGTACGCCGACACCGCCTTCGCCAACTCCGACGGGGTAACTCCAAGGAATATGCACGCCATCCCACGTGCCATTCCTGCAAGATACTCCATGAATAAGACGCGGCACATGGCAAGGCCTGGGAACTTCCGTCCGACGACACATCCACCGGATGCGATTGGCCGGGGCGCCTGAAAAACGCGAACCTAACAACGCAGCATTGATCGTCTGCGCTTGGGTTACCAATGAGCTGGATACCGCACAATCCATCTAAAGCGCCGTTAGGAAGCCCAAGGCCACCAGTATGACCGCTCCGCCGTTGCCCCTCTCCACCCCAGAAAAGACAAAAACAACATGTCAGCCTCGAGCAGCTCGACAGACACTAACGGGAGCGCCCATGATGATTCTACTGCTGAAGGGGCTAGCAGCTCCGGTCCGTCGCTCGAAATCGACGTGCGTTCCCTGTTCCAAACCTTGGCTGTATTAGCTCGCCCGACTGACAGCTGTCACAATAGAGTGAAGATACAGAAGGGCAGAGCGACGAGCGCGACTCCAACTTTGGTGATTCTGCCTACGGTGACAACCAGTCTTCTTACACCATGTCGGCGACGTCTTCGGTGTTCAACTTTCGCTACGAGAATGGCAGACGGTATCACGCGTATGCCGAGGGACAGTATCCTGTACCCAATGATGAGGTGTGCAACTATCGGTGGGAATAGCATTGTTGTTGCTGATGCCGACACTAGGTGGAAGCGGACCGATTGGATCTACAGCACCACGCTTTCAGACTCACACTCGACGGCAAACTTTATCGAGCGCCTATCCCCAAAGATGTGCAAAACGTGCTCGACGTGGGATGTGGGACTGGCATCTGGTCTATTGAGTTCGCTGATGAGCATCCGTCTGCTCGCGTCCTTGGCACGGATCTGAGCCCCATACAACCCGCTCAAGTGCCTCCAAACTGTGAATTTCTAATCGACGACTGCGAGCAAGACTGGATCTTTCACGACCAATTCGACTACATCCATACGCGAGCTATGGTCGCAGCCATCAAAGACTGGGACCGTTTCTTCGCGCAGGCGTACGCCAACCTCAAGCCAGGAGGCTATCTCGAGTGCCAAGACCTTGCCTTCCCAATCAGATGCATGGATCCGGATGTGACTGCAGAGAACTCACCTCTAATCCGCTGGTCAGAGTACTTCCTCGACGCCGCAAAGAAGATTGGTCTCGATGGCACCAGTCCAAGACACTTCACGCCGCAGATTCGTAATGCCGGCTTCAAAAGTATCAACTACAAGAACTACAAGTGGCCTGTAGGGAAGTGGGCAAAGGGCGCGAGATTCAAGCTCCTAGGTCGCTTCGTTTATGAGGATCTGATGGACTGGCTACCGAGTAGTTCACTAGGGCTCTTCACGCGCGTGCTGAAGTGGTCAAGGGAAGAAGTGGAAGTCTTCCTATCAGAGTGCAGAGGGGAGGCCAAGAGGAAAGACCGACACTTCTATGCTGATGTGTAAGCGGACATCACATCACCATTATGAAGCGCGATCTGCTAATTACTCAGATTCTTCTATCATGCCCGCAAACCCGAAGGCGCAAACGCTTCCAGCTCAGCAGAAGATGACGTGGAATGGGAAGAGTCCATAGACCGAGATGAAGAAGACGAAGGCCACCACGCAAGAACGCCATCAACAAACACAACCTCTACCCCACCAGTCCCTCTACCAACCACAACCGACGCGACACACGCTACAGTCGACCAATTGGCCGCTGTTGCTACCAAAGCAGACAGTCCCCCAAGAACCGACGTCGCCGACTCAACGCCACAAACTCCAATTCAGTAGTGTATATAATGAATACATCTACTTTCCAAAGCCCCAATGTGTGCTCACCAACCACCCCGATAGCTACAGCGCTATCTCATCGTTGTAGTCATGACCTTGGTGACCTTTGTAGTCGTATGGGTGACCGTGGTGACCTCGACCGTCTCTACAATCTGTGTTGTAGTCGCTGCGCTCTGGATCACCGCCACGTTCTGTATGGTGTTGCCGGCCTGGGTTGTCGCCGTCGTCGACGTCACCGACGTGTTCGTGAGGACCGCGTTGGGGTCCATGGTCGCCTGGCTGGGTTGTGCGAGGCGGATGGAGGTGGTGTGGGGGTATGTAGGTGGTGAGGTGAGTTGCGGAGATGGGGAGAGGAGCGGCGGTGATGGTATGTAGGTTTGTGGGTGGCTTGAGAGAGAGGTGTGTGCGCGACTGGGGGTTGATGTAGGCAAGATGGTGTGGTGTGTGCTGTTGCTGTCGCTGGTGTGGAGGGGATGTGGATGGTGGGAGAGGGTGAGGGAGAGGAGAATATTGCGACTCGCTAAGACAACAACAAGGCAAAAAAGATGAGATGAAGCACGCGCCTCTGCTATTGTCGTCTTCACTCAGAGCTAGCAAGGGAAAGAAGAGATGTCCTTAGCACAGGCAGACTAGGCCGACGCCGCCGCCGCAGTATGCAAACAGCCAAAAAGATAAGACCCTTCAAACAGCAAAAAAGAATGTCCATCTCAAACAGCGTAGTGTAGTGTTATGTGTTGAAGGAGAAGATGTTACTTACGTCGTGATGTCCCCCGATTCCTCCACTGCAAGTTAGCGTACTCTGTCGCTGGTTAGCATCACACTTCTGTGACCGGGGATAGGCCCCGAAATCCAAAGACCGGTGAGGTTAGGCCGGTGGGGAGCTGGAAGATGTCGTTAGCGTGATTCGAACACGGCGAGTTGAGCGGTGTTGGAGGGAGTGGAGTGGACCACTACGCTATTGTCTTGGACTTTGATGGGATGGTGGCTAGAATACGGGGGTTATGTAGCGAAGGGACTTCTAGTTCTCCTCTCTAAAAGAGTTGGGCTGAACTTGATAGCGAGGCGGAGGAGAGACTCCTAGCAGTTGCGCGGTGTGTAGGCAGGAGCGGAGATTTTGTTGTTGTGCGGCGATGACGCGTTTGCTCCTTTCGTGGGGACAACAGCATTACGCTTTGGCAGGCTGCGTATGCGTGTAACTCCGACAGCGTGTGAATGCGTTCTGCACAAAAAGACGTAAAGCAGCGAGGATACTGCAGGATAGAAGGCAATGCGAAGATACGAGCGGATGAGGAGTCCTAAAGCATGCTGATACTTTACTACCAACTATGCAGTAAGGCTACGTCACATTCTGGATGACACATTAGCAAAAAAAGAAGATCAAGTCATCTAGATCGAACAGCCGAAGCGGTCAATTGGAAGGGAATGTTGACTTACCAAGATGGTTGAAGGAATGTAAGTAGGCCGAAGCCAACGCAAATGCTGAAAACGGCCGAAGCCAACACAACGCGAAAGAAGGCCGAAGCCAGGAAAGAATGGTAAGCCCTATATTGGCGCGAAAAGCAGATAAAGCACAGAAAGGATAGCAGGTAGTGATACTATTCGAACTCGTTAGCTTTTGTATCCCTCTTGAGGTGAGAGTGCGATTGACCGCCGGGCTATTTGATCTGGATGACTTGATGGAAGAATACGACTCCAGGTCCCTTTATATCTCCGGTCAACGATACTTGCATCCCCGAGAAGAAGATCAGAATTTGGGAAAAATCGACATGATCCTGGTGTTGAGTATCGCCTTGGTGAAGCTGGCGGTGATGGTGGTGTGGGCCCTTGTGGTGAGGGCGCGATCCAGAGCGGGGGCGGTACCGTGGTGACAACGACCGTCAAAGAGTGCGGCGCCTTAACATTTCGGGTCGGAAAGGAGACGAGACTTGAGATGAACACATAGAATGGAAAGGTGACATGAATAAGAAATAGCATCGTGCTGGAAGTGAGAAAGGAAAACATTCACGAAAGACGTAGGAATGAAAGAAATGATTCGACGTATGGCAGCGCAACGTAGAATCTAGAAGATCCGGACAAGATGAAGGTCAGTATGCACGAGCTGCAGAAGCCATGCCATCCTTAATGCAGGAGATGGTGTGGTCTTGGACGACATCCAATGAAGCCGTGTCAACCCCACGATGCGGGGTCATCAGGGGCAAAATGCGCGAGATCAGATGCCAAGCAGTAATACCCTCCGCATCGATGATGAAAGCAATGCAGGAAGGATGCGTAGGCCTTGTAGACATTTAGGAGGAGGTGGTAGCAGAGACTGCCATCGCAGCCTTGAGGTTTGACGTTGGGAAGAACGGGGCCACTCGGCGGTGCTTGCTAGTTCGGGCATGCCGTGGG